GGGTCTTTAAAAGCTTAAGAATCTCCTACGTCTTTTATGAGCTTTTAGTCAGTCTATCTAGGCTTTTGAGCTTTTCCTTTTCAGCATTGCTGCCTAGAATTTTCAGGTATTCTAAAATGGGTCATTCCAGTTGAACGAAATACGCATCACCAATAGGTATAAAATCTGTTCTTGTGACCCCGTAACCGATGGTCGGCCGTATGACAACCCATCGTTATGGACCAAAGTCAGGTGTCAGTCACCGTATGAAAAAATGCATCCATATTGCGCAACCCGCCGTTTACTCCTGAGACGCCCTAAGATGCGGCTGACCGACTGGCGTGCGGCTCAAAACCAAGATTAGCAAAACCTCAAATGTGGAGAGCGTGCCGGCGGTTTTCGAATTGGATAAGTCAAACAGACGTGTGGCACGTGCCCCGTGGCTAATCCGCTCCGGAGGGAGGCAGGTGTGCTCCAAAGATGGATTGTCATTGGCCAATACTGGGTGGTAGGGGCAGCTGGACTGAGGGCAGGGAAAATGAAAAAGGTATACAGATCTAAGCTTCCTTCGGGGTTACTTGAGGTAAAAGTGAGTAACGGAGGCATTTCTCACGAATTAGATGTAAACGAAGGTTGTGGTAGGTACAGTGCCTTTTTGCGATGGTATTTCACAAATGACTAATTATTTTAATTATAAGTCAATCCTAAGCATAAATCAATCGCAGTTCTTCGAAATAAACAATTTAGCATCTATACCTATGTGATAATAATGAGGATTGGCCCTTAGGTACGTATGCAAATGTTTCTGAAATAAATACCAATCAGAATAGCACACAGTTCTCAGATTACTATGCAGGTATGTCAGTAATGCGCCGGTGTATTAGCTATCACTGCAAACAGAAAAATAATCCTAGAATTCACTTAGAGTGGCGAACTGTCTTTTTAAGATGATGCACCGGCCACCCAAGAAGCGATAATGATTAGGTCTTGTAAAACCAGCACGTTACGACTTACTCAGCTCACAAGAAACTGTGCCAGCACGCGAGGTATGCTGTCGGTATAACACCGCAAGCAACTATCCGCTCTCAATTTCAAACTGGCTTCCGGGAACATTTGTTCAACGGTCCATTCGTGCGCACGCCGCACAGGACGAAGCTCATCGATGACCATTGAGTGGCTGTCGTTCACTTAAGCGGCAAAGGCACGTAACTTCACCAGAGGCCAATGACCTGCAGCGCATAGGGCCAAATCGTGTTGACTGGGCAGTTGCTGCTTTGCAATTGGCTTCAATCTGTTTGGTTTGGTAGACTCTCAGTCGCTCTAAGCAGCGTTTTCTTTCAACATTCTGACCAAATGCTGACAAAGGTACTGTTCAAGATAAGCATTTTTGCACGGAATGACGCTTTTTAAGTCTCACAAGATGAAGTTGTCAGCGAAATTGAACCATTTGTCCAAAGTGACGCTTGACAGCTACACGGTTTGTCACTGCGTGGAGGAACGTTGCATCATTACCTGCTAAAGCGGTACCAATGAACACCGAATTGGCATATAAGACTGCTGTCAATCAAGATATTTAATACCGGTGCTTGCATAAGCCAGATATCGTAAACTGCAAACCAGAGTAACCAGTCATGGGTATGTACAAGGCAGCCTGCGTTGTTGGCTTGTAATTCGGGCACTTAACCCTCGCCCTGGCAGGGTTAAGTGCATCAACCTTAGGGGGGTTGATGCAATCCCCACTAAGGTTTTTCAAAGATAGCGCAAAAACGGCGGCGCGCAGCGCCGCCAAATTTGGCACAGCCATGGGGCAACCTTTTTACATATGACCTGAAAATGTCAGGTCCGGGCGACCTTGGGTCAGGTCACCAGGTCAGAAAAACCGGTGAAAGGTCATGGTCAAATTTCAATTTTCTTTTTGCACCTGTCCAACTCACAGTTTTTGACTGATTTCCTTCAAACTTTCATGATGTGCTTAGCTCACCGAGTTGTATAACATATAGGTCGGGTTTTTTATGTCACTGACCTGAGGTCAGTTAGAGGTCATTACGTCGTAATGTTAAGCCTATGGGAAAATACTAAATTCGGAAAATACTGGAGATATCAGCTTCGTTCTATCACTTTTGTGCTTTGAAACCACAGTACTTAACAGCAGGTTACTTGGTGCTTCTTTGTTTGGTGTACTTATCCATGGGTCAGGTCAAATGAGGTCAACTGAGGTCAACTGACGTTTTTGCCAATAAATTGGCACATAAAAAGTCATGCTGGAAAAGTCATGCTGGATATCAAATGAGTAGCATTCTTGAAATAAGCGCGCTTCCTTGATGCTTTCACTACTGAGTTTATTTATAGAAAGCTGTCTACAAAGCTGACAAAAACTGTTTCATGCGAACTATCATTACCTCAGGTAGACAAAACGTTTGGTACCTACTGCGCGAAATTTTTAATTCATTTATCGTAATAGAAGCCTAAATTCAGTACACAATGGAATTATATGTCAAACGATGCTGGATAATATTCGCTGTTCAGTGTAACTTTTCTCCGAAAGAGGCGAGGTATATTTCCTAATTGACTTTTACATTAAAAAGAGGTCACAAAGTTGACCTGAACCTAGGTCAGAGACGTAGAAAATCCAAAGGTACATTCCATAGGGCATATCACCCCTATCAATTGTCGAAAGAAGCAAAACAATTGTTTACGTTGGGGGACGAGCGAGCAAGCCAGGAGCAAGCATTTGCTTCCTTGGATGAGGTCGTTGGTCAGTCACTGACGAGACGTGACCTGACCAATGAGTATGGGCTGAAACTTTCACGTTATGTGCAAAAAAAAGTACATAGGGTGCTCTATGAGTGGTATGTCCGAGAAAAAAATAGGGAGATGCTTGAACCTCCCCCTCCCCTCCCGCCACCCCGACCTTCATGGCCACTGATGTAAGACCCAGGAATGTGTGGAGCTCTGAAAGTAAAGCGATGGGTAAACGAGGGTGTGGGTAATCCTAAGGTTTTATCAAAGTGTTCAACAACCATATCACATTCGCTTCTGTTCACAGTCTTTAATCATTTCTGCCGATCCATGACACCTTCAAACCCCACTAACACCATCCAAATCAACACCAACACTCACAACAACACTGATAGCCTGCAATCATCAGCGCCATGGGGCTGGCCAGCTAGTTTCCAATAACCGATCCATGTCTCGAGATTCGACCAAATCGCATTATTTGTGCTAAGTTCAGCCTTGGCACCGATTGGTGAATGTCGTTCCTGTCGCGTGCCGTATGGGGTGAGGGGCTGAGGGGATCCTCCGGTTACCTATGTCTGGTTCAACTGCAGCACCCATCGCCACTGGTTTCAGGCCCTCACCCACCAACTGGCCGACGGACTCCGACGCACCGGTCAAACCGTGTTCCTAGCGCAGTCGACACCGGCTTAGACGTGTAATCGGTATCGGCTGCGGTCGAACCGTCTTCAGACGGCAGAACCCCGGCAATCACAGGTGTCGTGTTTCTATGACAACGAACGCTTCAGCGGCGGATCGCGGTGGAATGAAAAATAACTAACGGCTTTAGCGTTCGTGGCACGTATAGTATAGTGATTGCCTCATTGCGGTTTTAGCGTAAAGCCCCGTATTTAGTGGCGTCTTCTGGCTCAGAGTGGTCCCAGCAAATAAACTGCGGATCAGATGCGATACAAAAACGCTGGTCCAGACAAATCGCCGTCAATGCACGCAGGATGCACTGACATCTCGCTTATTCGGCCCTTATTGATAAACATCCCGTTATTCGTCACTTTATAACTATATACCATACTAGAAAATAATGCACCGAAAGTTGGATAACGTTAAGAGTCTTCGATTGCCTAGCTAAAGAGCAGTGATAGATGACAGAAAATAAATGAAAACGAGATATTACGGTGGGTAGTGGTATGCAATTGCAAATCAGCGAGTCGGCTCGTATTGCCTTTCGATTCCAATGATGCATAATCACAGCAATAAGCAAAGCATCGATGGTGTGGAATGATTATATAAGCCTCATAGCAGCACAACATTTCATTGCACGATCGTTTTGGAATAATGAGCACTCTTAATCATTTAATGAGCCACGTTGGTCAGTGCTTGGAATCAAGAAGGCGACGATAGGTAGGTAAGTGACAATGGCAGAATCATGTATCTATTTATCTTTATCTCAAAATCTAAAATTACCCTCACTTATACATGTTGCAATTTATCATTAGTTAGAATTTTAGAACAAACAATAATTTGACGATGTATTCATCATCAATCTTCGATCTGTCAAGAGATCACCATGCAGCATTGACAATGGACTGATGAATACAATTACTGTACGTCACTGCTATTAAAAGATGTGGAGATCAGATAGTGTCCAAATATTCACATTTAATGTCATTTGCATGTAAAACCACAGCTGAGATTATATCTACCACTTATTACAGCACAAATCAAATGCTAGTCATTGACAGTGGCATCGTTTAAAATTCTGTAGCTGCACTGCACCTACTTAATATGATGGTATTCATGCAATCCTTGTGCAATGTTATCAGCCGGTAAAGTCTTTGTACTCTCTGAAATGTGGTATTCCAGGCAAGAACGAATACGTTGTTCTTTATTCCGAAGTGAGGTGAAGTTATGCTGATGCGGCAATGGCTTCATTAAAATAATATGCATAGACATGCAAATATGCAGGATTTAGGCATACATGGTTTCTACTTGACCTGGCACCCATGATTGCAATTTGTGCGCACCATCAAATGGCAGGGGGGGGGGGGCACTCTTATACCGACCACTCTCCCACATATGCACACTCTAAATGGGTTTCTTGCCACAGTGTAACGAAGTGCGTAGGGGCGTTTTAAAAATTGTCGACAAATGTCTCGGTTATTTTTATTGATGCAAACGAAATTATAGCAATTTCTAGGGCAGAAAGTTAGCGACGAGATGACTATAAATGGGTATGGTCAAGGCTAAAAAGGCTATGCTATCGTCATGAAAATCCTGAAAAGCCGTCATGATCATAAAGTAAATGTATTTATTTTATCGTTTTGTCCATGTCTTCTCCAGTAAATTATAAGTAAGCATCTTCGATACAGCGTGCCTTGAGCCATACCACCTCCATAGCGTAGGTGATATTCTGCTCCAGGCCTGGCACAGCCCACTCGGGCCGCTGCAGTGGGTTCGGCTCCGACCAGAACAGGTAGAACCCCAGCTCCTGCAGCGCCAGCAGCGATCGGTAGACCTCCCGGTAGAACGTCACATGCTGCTCCGCCGGCTGGTGGTCCATGAAATGCAGCTCTACTCCTAGTTGTTCTACGTTCTCTGCCAGCACGGAGCGCGCGTCGAGCTCAGCCTGTTGTTGGAACACTGCCCACTCGCCGTCCTCCACATCCAGCTTCAGGTAGTGGATGACACTCTGTCTGTGACCCAGCCGGTCAACCAGCGTCTCCAGAGTTCTAAGCTGTGCGTCAGAGTTCTCTAAGACACCGTCCCGCCCACCGATACCGTACTGGTGAAACGAAACGTCACCGGCGCCAGCCGAGTCGTTTGGAGCGGGGATAGTCGGATCGAATGCGTGCACAGTGCAGCCGAACGCCTCCATATCCCAGTCGAACGACCAGTCGATGCTGATGCCGAACGAGTAGACTAGGCAGCCGTCGGAGGTGAGCAGTGAGAGCTCGGGGTCCAGACAGACGTACTTGTGTCCGTCCACATACGCCGCCGAACGATCTCGGATCTGAATGAACAGAGGGGAGATTACGGCCAGTCTGCTCCGAAATAAATGACACATTGAAAATAGTGCCTACGGGCATCTAAACAAAACGCTAAAAAGCAGCAAAATGATACCTTCCGATGAGGAAAAGTATCAAGTGGGGATCATTCTATACTTAAAGGGACACTCCCACCTTAACATTAGTTTTGAGTTGAGATAGCCAAATTGGTGGCCATGGCCTGCAAATACCGGTTTGGGTACTCACAACATCGACAAACGCTTTAATTCGGAGATATGGAATTTCAAACTTGCAGTTTTCGGATTCTAAGGGGCTAGTGCATTGGTATGCCCCCTTAGAATTTGTGACGTCAGCGGAGATCTAACGATTTTTAAATCTTTTACTAAAACGTTTGGTAGCACGCGGTGGTATATGCTGCTTTGCGCGCAACAAATGCCGCACTTTCAAATAAAGTCGCTAGGAACAGCGGAGATCCCAAAAAGTAAACAAAAGTAAAAGTCTAATATCTTGAAAACCGGTGAATATTTTTCGATGAAATTTGGTGGATATTCGTTTTCACTCTTTCTGAACCGAGCGACATCACTTTCGTGCCAATTCATTAACTTTTTTGAAGGTGGGAGGGTCCCTTTAATTCCCGGGATTTGGGAATAGCCTAAGCATAAAGTAATTGCATGCCCATAACGGAATATAGCCCACTGCGGCTATTTGATACAACCTCTGAAGAGGAAAACTTACGGGAATCCCGCCGAACTTAAGTTTCTTCTGACATGTACGTGGATCCGGCCTGGTGAGATACATCAGCAGGTCGGCCAGCATAGTGTGGTCCTCGGGCGACATCGGAGGCAGCCTTCGCACGGCCATGTCGGGCCGGCAGGGCGACCCCAGTGCTCTGGCGGCGAGATAGAGAGACGGAGAGCTGTAGGTGGCGTGGGGGTTCCATCTACTGGCGGTGAACTTTGCGGTGAACGGTCAGTCACCCGGCGCTTCGGTTCCACGTTCCTCGACGTATTGTATTGACCTAGGAGTAGCTACCTTGGTATGTACCTAAGGTTTGTCCTCCGCGATTTGACATGTGTTGACGAGAAACCCGCTTCATTCTTGAATAAAACATTGGTGATTATGAATAGAATAGGCAATAAACTATTACGAGAAAATAAGGTAAAACGTCTACCTATTATGTTTCGACATTTTTGTATGTATACACCCATGGACCATGGGTCAAGTCATTCGTTGAACTGGGTCTTAAGTCTTAACCCGCGCCCCGTAGGGGGCCGAAACGGCCCCCCTGTCCTTTTCCGTCGATATCTCCTAAACGGCTGGAGATATCGCCACCAAACTTTCAGGACCTCTCCGGGCATCAATTTTACACATTGTGACCACAAATTTATCCAGAGGCTCTGATAGGTTGGCCACAAATGACGTCAGAATGACGTCATGTTCTGTCATTTTCAACCGAAAAAAGACCTTCGCGAGAAGACCTGTCAGGCCTACAACTTTGAAGATACAGAAAAATGATCAGACATACCTAAAAGGTGTAGAATTGACAGGGCTACAAAACTGCTATCTCGGATTTTTGAAGCTTTTGAGTTTTGACCCCCAAAAATCAAAAAAGATTTTTTTATATATTTGCCAAAAAATCCAAAAAGTTTTTTGAGTTAAAAAAAAAACGGAATATAGGTATGTGATAGTACTTAGGTACCGTCTTCTATCTACATACCAAATTTAAGATCAATGCCTCGTTTTTTGGCCAAGTTATAGCGAAAAAAACTGCTCAAAAATGATAACGTCAAATTTTCAAACTCAATTTTTGGCAATTCTAGACATCGTAGAGCAAAACAAAGAAGACCACCATTAGACTCCCCGTGACGAGCTGCATCGAATCGATACCCATTTTATGCAAAAATATCAACTTTGAAATTTGACCTAATTTGACCTGACCTTGACCTGACCTTCACCAAAACGTGACCTAGGCTGGCCCCAAAGGCTGCCTAACCCACATAATCGCATTTGACATGTAAAATGGACCATAAAACATGTATCACACGACACTTTCATATTGTGACCCCCGGTGACCTGACCTCGCTGTGACCTGACCTGGTATCAGTGACCTCAGATAGCAAAGTATGTGTTTGACGAACAATTTACCATCGATGGTTTTCAATAAATTACCAATTTACTCGATTTCACAACACATTTCTTGAAATGCCTGTGAGCGGTGAAAATCTGACCTTTGACCTGACCTGTGACGTCATCGGTTTGACCTAGGTCAATAAAATTTGGTCACAAGGTAAGGTAGTTCCCGGTTGGGGCTATCGAACGCCGTTTGAATTTTGAAAATCGGCCGGTAAATTTCCAAGATCTTAGGGGAGGGGGGGCCGAAACGGCCCCCCCCCACGGGTGGTAGGGTCCGCCGTTTGCCCTACGGGGCGCGAGTTAAATTGTAACACCCTACGAAACAAATATATATAGGTACCTACTGCCGAGTTCCTCAGGAAATCATCAAGCGACATGTAACCGAATGCATACGATAGTAAAATTGTAATTATAATTCTCACCTGGCGCCAGCGTTGGTCGGTGCTGGTCGACGAGTTAGCACCACAAACAGCAACACACCGTGGAATAGCAGCCCCACGGAGAGCCACGACAGCAGCGGCCAGCGACGCCAACGTCGGCACGGCATCTGACCTTGACCCGTGACCGGCGGGTCACACCTGACCTCAACTGACCCGCACCGTCCGGCCTCTTCGGCCCCAGTTGGTGGCTTGATTTCACAACAATTTCCCCTTTCCTATTCCGATCTACTCACAGCAGCGAGCGTCTGGCATGCTGTATTGGTTGTGACTGGCGGCATCCTCTCCGCATCTCCGGCCGCCGATCCCGACCGCTGCGCGTCCCTTCGGTCACAAAAACCACCGCCTCGGGGTCCGCCGGCCGGCAGCGGGTGAGGAGCTCCAGCGGCTAGCATGGCTCTGCAGTCTGCAGAGCCACGCGACTGCAGTGGCTCTATCATGGCCACTGGCCAGGTAGAGAGGGAGATGTTACGCTTATGTAACCTTTTGTCCGTGATTAGTCTTAATGCTCGCGTTGTGTTTTCGGATAAAAGATAAAGCTTCCGTTGGCTTTTTATTGCGCTAAGCCAAATGTAGGTAATATACATAGAATGTGGTTAGTTCAGAATCAATTCGAATCAAGGGGTACGATTTTCCCAGCTGTTTCGAAGATGGTGAGCTAAGGTGACCTCGGTGACCTGCAAAAGTCAACTTAACGTTTTCGCCTATTGCAGCCATTCTATACCTACCTAACTCAGAAACTTTTGGGCCGATCGAGACGAAAAAATTACCAGCCGATTCAGCCTATGCGGCTTCAAAAATCGTTTCCAATGTGGTGACCTAAGATGACCTCGGTGACCTTGGGAGGTCACATGACCGTTGTCGCCTATGGCAGCCATTCTATAAATCTGGAACCACTAGGCTGATCAAGGCGAAAACACCACCAGTCGATTCAGCGTATGCGAATTCATCAGCGGTGTTGAATAGGTATGGTGACCTCTGATGACCTCAGTGACTTCGAAAGTCGAAACGTCCACTTAACATTTTCACCTATTGCAGCCATTTATAACTCAGAAGTCAGAAGCCACAGTCTGGTCACCAAGGTCACTGTAGGTCACCACATCCGAACGGACTGATGAAATCGCATACGCTGAATCGAATGGTCGCGTTTTCGTCTCGATCGGCCCAGAGCCAGAGGGTCCTGGGTTATGGAATGGCTGCCATAGGCGACAATGGTCATGTGACCTCCCAAGATAACCGAGGTCACCTGTGGTCATCATTTTCGAATTGGATGTTGAAATTGCATACGCTGAATCGACTGAGTGGTGCTTTTGTTTCGATCAGCCCGGTGGCTCCTGAGTTATAGAGTGGCTGCAAATAGCAAATTGGCCTTTTAAGGTCACCGAGGTCACCTGAGGTCACCATATTCGATTAGATAAGATGAAATCGCATGCGCTGAATCGACTGGTGGTGTTTTCATCTCGATCAGCCCAGTAGTTCCCGAGTTATAGAATGGCTAGATTAGGCGTTATTGCCAGGTTGACATTTTGAGATCACTGAGGTCACCTGAGGTCACTATCTTTTAAAAGGCTGATAAAATTGCACCTTCTGATTTGAATGATGTTTAGTTTGTCCAGATCAGTTCAGTGGTTCCTAAGTTATAGCATGGTTGCAAGGGTGGCGGTCGAATAGTGTCGTCCACCGCTTTTGATGTGCAAAAATATTTACGGATCCGTGCGTCAAAAATGACGCGTGCGTCAGGAAGTTCCGTTGCGTTGCGTTGCGTTCGGACACGCCTAAGAGCTGGACTTTTTGATGACGTCTTCGGGTGACGTCATGTCGTGTGTGACGTTTCGTGAGCAGGTAAGGAAAAGTCACCACCGCTGGCGAACATTTAGTGCGGTAAATGGCAAACACAAATGCTGCGCAGAAAAAACAAATGTGTAACTTCAGACAACATTCGTTCGGACGACAATGTGATGTCAAGGCGAATCAAGAAGTTCTTCATGCGATTGTTAGTTATCTGTCGTGCTAACTTATTAGCAGTTGAGTTGTGAAATGTATTATCAAAATCAATGTTTATTGAACGCAGATTCAGTTTATTTTCAGATGTACCTAGGTACCCTTACACTTCACTCATCTCAAGCTGTTCAAACACCCTTGACAAAGTCGATTAAGATGAAACGTTGGGTATAATTTATACTGTGTTTTCTCTGCATTATTAACATATTCATCATATATACAATATAAGGGCCACATGCTTTTTACAGGGAGACATGTCAGACAGCCCAGTAGGATGAGGCTTCGTCAAGCGTCATTTTTAGCAAAGCTTTTCTTGCTTAAAATCCAGTCTGCAAAACATGGCAGGGCTTACACTTTGGCTTACACTTGACTCCCAGCTGTTTTGTCTTTGCTATGCGATGTTAAACATATAAAACATCTTACTATTCATGTATGCGCCATGACTCATGTAATCTTTTCACAGCCAACACGCTCCTAATGTACTGGGAATGTGGGGAGTGCAGCAGCATCAGTGCAGCACCAATGGTCAGATGCGAAGGCTGTGATAAATGGTACCACTTCCGTTGCGCGGGACTGTCTAAGGAGCCAGGTAAGCGCAAATGTTTTCTGTCTCAGTCTTTTTGTTGCAGCTATAGTGATCAATGAAATATTTTCTGCACTGTTCAGCCAAACATGTATTTCAAACAATCTGCTTCCCAACCAAGGGCGTCGCCACAGGGGGGGGGGGGACGGAGGGGATCTCGTCCCTCCACTTTTTAAAATTTTTAACATTACGCCTATGGCGTTGCATGGAAAGAATCAACTTGAAATGGTCCGAGCCCCTCCAAAATGGTCAATGTCCCCTCCAGTCGTCGCACCGTGGCGTCGCCCCTGTTTCCAACTACACAGATTTAGTCAAACAATGTGCCAATATGGAATTTTCAGGTTCAGTTGAATGAAATAGGAACAATGATAATTGTAGATTACGTATACCTGCAAGAGAGGAAAACAGAATACATTGTATTGCTTGTCCTTCACCGATACTGTTATTTTTCCATTTCTAGAAACACCGACATGGCGATGCAGGTGGTACTGCCTGGTGAGGCCGCGGTCTCCGGAATCGCCTGCAGACGAAGTCACCTGGCGTCCATCTGCACATCACTTGCAGAAGTGAGGCCTGCTGACAGCGTCTGGCAGTGTCGGCAACGTGCCAGACAGCTATCTGGAGTCCTGCTCACCGCAGGTCGCCGACAGGAGGGGCGACGCATCGTCTCCGAGGTCGCCTCAGCATCAGTGAGACCCCACTGGCCGTCTTCTTAGGCTTCAACTAGATTGCGAACAACCTATGCTGAGACAACGCCCATGACGTGTGATCCGGTACCGCTACCGCACTGCGTGCCTGTGCCCGCCGTGAGCCGCTAGTGCATGGGTTCGACCATGAGAATGTGTGTTTATGTTGCTTTTACTATTGTTTATACGTTGAAGTGACGAATTGTTTATTTTTCGCAAGCCTCCGCTGTCCGGTTGCCTGCAGCTCCATGCAACGTCAGCTGTACTGTTGTTTTAATGTTGTCTCTCCGCTCAGCTGTACTGTTGCCTCTCCGCTCATAACAACCTATGCTGAGACAACGCCCATGACGTGTGATCCGGTACCGCTACCGCACTGCGTGCCTGTACCCGTCGCAAGCCTCCGCTGTCCGGTTGCCTGCAGCTCCATGCAACGCCAGCTGTACTGTTGTTTTAATGTTGTCTCTCCGCTCAGCTGTACTGTTGCCTCTCCGCTCATAACAACCTATGCTGAGACAACGCCCATGACGTGTGATCCGGTACCGCTACCACACTGCGTGCCTGTGCCCGCCGTGAGCCGCTAGTGCATGGGTACGACCATGAGAATATGTGTTTATGTTGCTTTTTATACTATTGTTTATACGTTGAAGTGACGAATTGTTTATTTTTCGCAAGCCTCCGCTGTCCGGTTGCCTGCAGCTCCATGCAACGCCAGCTGTACTGTTGTTTTAATGTTGTCTCTCCGCTCAGCTGTACTGTTGCCTCTCCGCTCATATATGACACCCTCTATATGAATGGCACTACTGATTGTCACACCCACTGTCCGTATTGTCCGTAGTGGTGTCTACGCCCATGTTAATACAGCGTGCAGAATCCAGATTCTATTGAGGAGAGTTGAGCCAAGTCACCATAGGCTCGGGAAGAGAGCAACGTGGAGGCCCACTGCCCCTTCCCCGGCCCCCACTGGGGGCGCCAGCCACTCCAACTTTTGACTGGATGTCAAGAGCGTCGCCACGAGGGGAACGAGTCGCCGGCCAGCCAAGGTAGCCAACGGCGTGTGAAGGTTGCCTGACCTCGAGGAAACTGAGATGGCACCAACGGAGGTTTTGTTAAGTAGGCGACCAAAATTCGAGCGGCAGCAACCTGGGCACCTTCACAGGGAATATGACCGGGGGAATATGACCCAATATCCCCCGTAAATATGTGCCTCGGAAGGGAGACCCAACCATAAAACTCGCCGTATCTTATCCACTATTTTTCGAACAGGTCCATAGATTTCCGTCCTCAAAAGTGCGGGGATATTCCCCAGTGTTTGAGTTGGATGGGACTATCGTGGCGTTTACACCGACAGGAGATTCCCATTGCCGGCTGTGGGAAATTTGGATATCAATGGAATCAAAATCTTATCGATCGATGAAGAACTAAATTACCCCGACCCGGAGAGCGTCTTTGGAATCAAAGCAGTAGCACATGACGCAAGACTTCAGGCAAATGAATCCTTCTCGTCTGAAATAAAACATTTGTGTATTGATAAGCACGTTTTATAAGCAATGGTAGCAAGATTCTTCATGTATTTGGTTTTAGTGATAATTTAGTAGCAGATACTTACCGTCGCATTTCGTTTTTTTAATTAATAATTTATATTGTCAGAACTAGCAACATATCTCTTCACTCAACAATAATTACAAAAATGAAAAAGAAATGATAAATTGCTCATATTTTGGTGAAACTAAAAATTAATTCAGCACATATTTTTTTTACAGCGTTGAAGTCCAGCTCCAAAGGACAGCTGACGATCGTAGCCGAGCAGGCTGTTTGGTACTTCTTCACTACTTCTTAGAAGTACCCGTTAGTACCGATCATGTCTCACATAATAAGCTATTGGAACAAAAATATCCATATTCTCCAAATTATTCTCCTTTCACACTTTAAATAAATACTTTTGAAATGCATTTACCAATTAATTTCACAAAAACGGCTTAAAATTTTACAACGTCAAAATACTTATTCCAATTTCCACCATGAAACCACCACTATATTACTTGCTTACAGAACCGTGCGCACAGTGCGCGCAGTTTTATCGTGACGTCAGAGGGTGCTTCCTCAGTGGCGCCCCCTGGCGGGGAACGCGTGCAAAAAGTCCAGCTCTTAGGCATGTCCGTTGCGTTCGTTGTTGCCGTTGCGTGCTTCATTCAATTCCACTGTTTGAGTTTTCAAAGACAAGTTTGTGTGTGAGTAAATTCTGAGTGTTTTGCTTGCTAGGGTGAGTTAACATTTATTTGATTTTTGTGACTGTGTTTTTGAAATATGTTCGCTCGAGGTTTGAGTCATTGCATAGTTTTGGGCTATTGCTTTTGGGCAGGGGCGTCGCCACGGATTTTTGAGTGGGGGGGTCGGGTTTCTAGTCTTCACCCGATGGGTAGGGGTGTTTTTTTTTTTTGCCACACTTCCCAGTTTTGTGCGTGCGTATGTGTGTGTGCGCGTGTAACAAATCGGCGCGCAGCGCCGCGAAATTTGGTATAACCTATTAGGTAGGTTTACCTACCTACATCACTTGCGTAAAAATTATCACTGATCACTTTAACCCTCGCCCGCACATGGGGGGGGGGTTGCCACCCCCCCCCCCCAGGTAGTCTTTCCGCTCTGCACTCAACATTTTTAGCGCTAGAACGCTGATTTTTCGTATAGCTGCTCCTCTATCCTTTCTGGATGTCCACTGAAAATTTCAAGTTTCTGTGATTTTTGGTTTCGGAGATATGACCTTGTTTTTCAGGTCATGTCATGACCCAAATGGCCAATTCTCAACATCTTGCGTTTGCCATGGGTCTTGCGAGCTTTTGACACCCTGATTTCGGCCTTTTTTGCCAGTATTACCTCCCACCTATCATGGAACATGTTGTTCGACGATGTACAGGGGTCAAGGTCAGGGTCAAGGTCAACCTAGGTCATCTAAGATAATTGCGTTTTAGGCAAGCTGAATTTACTTTTTTTGAATTTTTTTGACTGCATTTTTGGTAAAAGCTTCTCAGAGCATGATTTCATGTAATATGGACCCAAAAACAATCGGTGCACACATCAGTATACACACAGACACACACAGACATACAAACACATATAATTGACCTTGACCTAACTTGGCCTGAAATGACCTCAGCCGCAAAATTCTGGTCGGGTAGTGTGACAAAGAGGTTCTAGCTGGCCTGGCACCAGAAAACAGCATCGTCATCGGTATTTGATAAGCAGCGCAATTGATATCCAACGGTGACCCAAAACAGCAACATTTTTTAGTTTGACCTGACCTGGAAGGTCAATGACTGACCTGAGAAGGTAAAACTGGGTATCATTGGATTCGTCTCTTCCCAAAGAATCTTTTTGGTCTTTACCGCTAAGCTCTATCTCCAACAGGAACGAAATGGCGCGGGGGGTGGCAACCCCCCCCCCCCCATGTGCGTTCTAGGATGGGAAAATGGCATGTGCGGGCGAGGGTTAAGGTCAGGTCGCCATGTCAAGTTCAGTTATACATGGTATACCTCTATCAAACTTTTCCCTCTCGCCATTTTTGTAGCTTTTCTCCCATAACTTCGAAATTTGGTACACTGTATACCCAATGTAAGGGGTTATAGGTATGTGTCAGCAATTCATGATTCTGAGGATTTACATCGATCTGGAGGCAGGTCAAATACGTGACCTCATCATAAGAAAATAATGAGAAATTAGAAAAAGCACGAATGCCTCCTGCTTTCAAAAAGTTCGTCAGAAACGCAAAATATCTTTGGAGCCATGACAAATCAGCTCATCATTGCCAGGGACAGGGTGCAACTTATGGCGAGTGATGACTCGAAAGGTCATTAGTGGAAATGTCCATCGATGGCCACCAGCATTTTTTTTCTACAACTTTTGACGAAGACGCGGTAGAGCGATGACAGCACCTGGAAGGTGTTCACTGTTCAGCTCAACAACACGGATCCATTCATATGCAGCAGGAGGTCCTTTTTCGATCAGGACATAACGTCGACCTGAGGTCGTTTTAACGTTAATTCTGAATGGTCAAATTTTAACTCATGTGACACGTCTCAAAGAGATAAACACGGTGGTGACAAGACAACATATGTAAATACCATACAAATTCACGGAATCTTAAGTTATTGCAAAGCAAATGTTTCGGCAGAATCTGTCTAGTTAGCTGTTTGCCTTCTATGGGCAAAACATAGATTTGAGATGAAATCTGACGCGAAGCTAGCGAAAGAGCGTTGAAAGAGCTATCGAATATGCTTTCTGCTTCACTGTAGCCCTTCTATTGGTGGGTTCCCAGTCGCTAACGTATAACGTATACTAAAGTAACGCTGAGGTATGCTTTCGACCCCTGATCGATCTAGAGGTTTGCAGAAAAAAGAGCATGCTGCCCGTGGCGAGAGAAAGCCGATGATACCCATTTACAAGGTTTCGGGTCATCTCAGGACTCAGGTCATCGCCAATAAGTAGGGAAACTCGGGACCTGCTAGAACTTTGTGAATGTAAGTTGTGATGGTTTTTCGAGGTTCTGATTACGAATGTTATCTTAGTTTTGAACGAAGATGATGACTCCATGCATTTGGGGTAGATCAGGTCAGGTCAGATCGACCAGTACCGAATAGTGGATGACCACCACCGATTGCTTCCTAACATGTTATATGGATAAGCAACACAACTACTTCTTAAATGTTCACATGGGCGCTAAGTTCAAAATCAGCTCCAAAAACTATCCTATACCTAAATTAAAAGCATGTTATGAAAAAGTGAACCAAGGTCATCTTTATTTTAATCAGGGATATCGATTTATTTTTAAGTAGGTGATTAACTCGAGCGCACCGGAAGTTTCGTTGCAATCGGCTGACGGCTCCTTTTTGCGCGACTTCTTTGCGAAAGCCCGAGACGGCTTCATCTGACTCCCTTTCCCCTACTTGTGCACTGTACAGCTAGTTGTGACGGTAGCCATAGGGCTGAGGCTAGTTTGTAGTTTTGTAGTTAGGTACTGATCCGACGAATCGACTGCGACCATTTTTTTTTTAAACGATCAGACGAACGCTCGGGGCAGTTTTGGCGCGTCCAATCCTTTGAGGGATAAAAAGGTACTAGAATGGTGGCTACTTAAAAGTAGGTATTGTTGTGCTGGTGTTCCCCGCCCACAGCTAATTGAACTTTAGGTAATTGGCTAATTGGCTTTAGGGAGCTCTTGAAGCGATTCTGAATCTGATGTATTTGTTGGTGTTGCTGACGCCTGCTTCACTGACATAAAAGCTAAAAAAGCATACTCAGCATCGCAAAAAGTGGGGGGGTCGACACCCCCAGTTTTCAAGAGTGGGGGGGGGGGGGGGTCACGACCCCCCCGACCCCCCCGTCGGCGACGCCCCTGCTTTTGGGAGTGTCAGTCTGAGTCTGAATTATCATTATGGGAGGGGCCTGGAATTTTGATCAGTTTCTGGTGTGTGGAGTGCTTATTTTTTGGAGGTTTTTGGGAGCCAAACATAGCTAGTAGACAGTAGTTACTATAAGTTAGTAGTAGTAGAGTGTCAGTGAATGGTCATGACGAGAAGGGCCAGAAATTTTGATCAATTTCTATGCTAAATTACACGGACTATGGAGTGCATATTTTTTAAAAAGGTAATTGAGAGCTAAAAAGTTGGTGATGTCTACTATGCAGTAAATGTTTATTTGATATGTGACTGCATTTTTGATACAGGTATGAAGTAAGGTTTCACATGCTCATAGGTAGGTCATAGCAGTCTATGATTTTTTAGGGCTGTTATATTGGAGTGTTTGGATTCTTGGAATGAGATGGGAGTGGGGGCCTGGAATGGCAATCAATTTCTAAGGTATGGAATACCTTAGGCTGACCCAGCCTCCAGGCTCCATCTTACAGATATGGGGAAATTCAAGATGAAAAATTGTCCGTACCCATTGATACCCATAGGAAATTCACCAAGTTTCAAACTTCTATAAGATCAAGTGTAGGAATGAATAATGACAGAATCATTAAGTTTTTAGAGGCTCTATAAACCAGGTTCACGATCCGTGATCTGGCTCCACTACGTGATTTTTTCGTGTGATTTTGCGATAATGCGAAATTGCATGATGTTTAGTATAGGCACTTCCGCAGTGTGGCTCAGCTCAGCGCATCCGTATACTCTAGATGAACATTTGTTGACATTGCCAAGGGCATCGCATTCTCGCATTGTCGCAAAATGGCCGCAAAATGGCACGGAAAATCGCGTAGTGGAGCCTGGGCGTTAGCGGTGAGCACCCGGTGTGCAGCTGAGACTTGAGAGACTGTGATCGACTCCCAGCGTGTCAGGTCGTCGTGTCCCGGGGTGGTAGCTGGGAACGGGTGGGCGTCTCGGGCACGGGCGCGCGCCATCTCCACGGCGTGGCGCCTGATCGCTCCGCGGCCAGGTGGACACTGGACAGCCACCCGTGCTTGGTCCTCAGTTGCGACCTCCGCCGTCAGGAAGTGTGCAGCCTCCCTATCTCTCCATCTCCTAGTCCAGTATCCATCAGCCCCCTGTGCCATATCGCTCCCCAGCCCCCACTTCTCTCAGCTGACCTACCCTCCCTCTCCTCCGGCAGAAGATGTCGAGCCTACAGCCTGGTGGGCAGCGGCCGCCGTCGCGCGCCTCGCACGCGTCACGCACCTCTGAGGTGTCGCGTGGAGCGCAGTCGCTCTACTCAGTGGGCTCGGTACACTCGGTGCGGTCCACGGTGAGGTCCACTGTGCCGCTCACGGCCCAGGCTGACACGTGGAAGCCGCCGGTGCTCAAGAAGGCGCTTTTCACGTCCATCCCGAAGGCGTCCAACATTACTGCCATCTACTCAATCGTGAGTGTTGTGGTGGGCGGGCGGGGGGGGGGGGGGACGGGGATTTTAGTGATGTGTTTGTGTGGCTGCTCGTCTTTTGTTTATCTGTTTGGTTCTGTAATCTGTTAGAAAGTTGTTTGCAATGAGAGGGTTTACCTCGCTTATTGTATCCTCGTTCATCTCGAACTGGAAGCAGCTTATTCATGGATAGCATGGCTATGAGGTGATCCATTGTCTTTTTGTCTCTTTTGTTTCTATTTAGCATCTTGATGCTCAAATCAGACTTAACCTTTCTCTGACCTCACTGACCTCTTGCACCCCATCTTTGCACCAACAGTTGCAGGCGCTGTTCACAATGATGACGGCGGTGTTTGACGCCTATGTGCTGATCGAGGCCGAGCCCGGCAAGGACCATTTCGGCTACTACGTCATTTCGTTCGAGTTTGTGTACGCCGGCAACCAGCACGGTGAGTGGCGACGCACCGTCTTGGTTGGTGTGATGGCGATGATCTCTCGTCGCCGAAACAATGTGATGTTTATTAACGATGCCTGCTAAAAGCATCGTTAAAGCCCCGGTCACACATACACGACGCACGGCCCGCGCACCAAAAATTCATTCATTTAGGTCAGTGCGTCGTCCTGCGCTATGCATTCGTTACTCGTTCGTCGAGTGCGCTGGGCCAACGGTATCATGCGTCGTCATTCGTTGCGTGCGTCGACAATTTTTGTGCATGCTCAAAAATGTGCGTTGAGCTCGACGCACGAAGACGAACGCCAGACACACGCGGAACGCGTTGGGCCAGCGCCAGATACACGCGGAACACACGCTGGGTATTCGTTGTGTGCTCGTCGGCTGATGCGTAGCGAATACCTAGCGCGGACATAGCGTGCCTCTAACGCATGTCTAACGGATACGCATAGACTATAAAGGCGTGATAAACAAGAGCTGAACGAGTATGTAGCGCGCACAGCGTTCGTCTGGCGTATGTCTATGGTCCCGCCCTACCTCCTCATTTCTACTTCTACCCTAATGGGTAAACTCTTCTACGTCATTGCTGCATAGTGCATAGGCTCCTTTCAATTCCTCCTGCTCTTGATGCCAGAATTTAGTGGTTTTCTTCGTGCAGGTCGCCTTTCGTCCCTTTGCCTTGGGAGGCATCTTGATATCCCTTCAAATTCCATGGAGGGCCGATGAGGATGTGCCCTCCTTGGCGTCCTAGTCCTACTGATATGACAACAGGCAAGACGGACCACTGCGCCGCTGCAAAGTGAAGTTCGCTGACTGTGCGTTGAATGTGCGGTGTACGCGCGATCCATGCGTCCCGTGCGCTAGCAAGCCGCTGTGCATCCGTTGTGTGTGCGCACTTTATGCGCTCTGTATTCGCTGTGTAGGTGCCCTGTACACGCCCGGCGCGCTGGCAAAGCGCTTGCAGCGCGTTGTGCATTCGTTGTAAAGCTGCTATTTCCTGCTGACTCTTGACAAAAGTTGGTCACACATCAACGCACGACGACGCACTGGTCTTTTTGCAATGTGCCGGCCTGCGCCGGCCGTACGTCATGTATGTGTGACCGGGCCTTAATACACCGTATGCCTGCTAAAAGCCTTTGTAGGAACATCCACTATCGGGACTAGCTGAAAGCGCACCAATTGTAAAATGAAGTAGAATATATGCTTATAACGCAAAGTATGCTTGCATATTGAGCTGCAAAAGTGTACGTTGGATTATCGTTCTCATCTCTTGAGAGATGTTTTTATTGTCGGATACGGCTGAGCCAGTGTTCACATTGCATCGTTCGTTTTGCGTTAACCCATATATGCATGAATTAATTTTTTGTCGAGTATTTGTATGAAACTTTCTAGCATTGTTAAACAACATGTTACTAAGCTGCTGACATCAACTGTTTCGTTTTTACATTTAGTGCTTGCCTGATATGCTCGTTCAAAGTGACGTACAAAAATGTACGTCTATGCCAGGTGTCAACAAGACAATTGTGACGTCTGCCGCCGCCGTCCTAAAATAATACATCCGATATCCCTAATACAATGCTAACGTCTTTCGTACTTCAGAAGCGATGTATGAGGGATGGGTTGGGGTGGGGATGGGGTTGTGGAGGGGGTAGGGTGACGTCATGTCATCGTTAACCTGGGCGAGGGGAATAACTTGTGTTGTATGGTCAAATATGATGTATGATATGTTGTGTTGCATTAGAGACCCTTGGAAATGGTAGTTACAATTCATACGTTGAATTAGGAAATAGATGTAGATCATGTATGATGAAAATAAGGAAATTTGCACGCAGCTGACCACGCAGACTGACCTCGTCCACGCAGCTGACGCGTCGGTCGTCGTAATGGCACCACCTGTCCCGTGCCACACTGTACACGTCAGACACTGTCCCGAGCGCGTGGCCCCGCTGTAATGACTAAAGACGGCCATCAGCCGGACGTAAAGTCGCCGGCATGGTCAACGGAGCAGAGCGACTGGTCGCCCTCGACTTAGAACTCGGAGAGGTGCGTCTGTCCAGGGGCGTCGGCCGGCTCTTCCTTCCCCAGTGACGGCATGATGGCCTCTTGGAGCTCGTGATCCTCGACCACGTCCATCCAGCGGATAACAGCCGCACTGCAGCCGTTGTTGGCAGTCGTAAATGCTTCGATGGTCTGATTGGACTTCTTCTTGAAGGCGTTGATGTCGGTGAACTTGTTCGCATTCAGAAGGCGATTCCCTCACATGGTACCCGTGCCATGGAACTGGCGCTTCTGGATCTCTGCTGCAAAACCGATCATCAGGGTCAAGCTTGGTGCTGCTTTGGAAGTGACATACCTACATCCATAATCATCCCGAACCGGTTGAGCCGGTGGGTGCGACCAGTTACGGGCTCAGTTACGTCTTTACGGCTCAGTTACGTCAGTTACGGCTCAGACCAGTTACGTCAGGCGGGCTGGGTCAGCATTCTCTTCGTCGCTAGACTCTTCGTTTGTGTCGACGCGAACTTCCGGCGGCTCTAGGACGACGACCGTGACATCGGCGACTCGACTTCGCTCCTCGATGCCATCCAGAACAGGGCTGCGGAGTCGGAGTCGGAGTCGAAGTCGGTCGGAGTCGACAATTCTGACCGGAGTCGGAGTCGGATTCGATTTTGGAAACCGGAGACGGAGTCGGAGTCAGAATCACCGACAAACCCATCGACTCCGCTGACCTGGCAGGGCTGCTGAGTCGGGAGTCGGAGTTGGAGTCGGTCGGAGTCGATAGTTCTACCCGGAGTCGGAGTCGGAGTCGGAGTCGGAGTCACTGAAAATCCATCGACTCCCGCAGCCCTGATCCAGAACATCGTTCAGGCTCACATTTGCCATCAAACCAAAGCATAAACGGGTTTGATGTTTGGAAAACAAAATGTAACGGATATGCATAGACGTACATTATTGTACGTGCGTTTTTGTGAAACGTACTATTTTTGGATTCGCTTGGTAAGCAAAATTAGCATTATAATGACACCACTCATGAAGTTAGGGTCATGCTTGAGCAGATTGCTGGCAACGAAAGCTAATCCGGGAAAAGCACTTAACTATAATTAAGAACACTTGGCTCACCCTGGGTCGAGCGTCTGAGCGGGTGAAAATCTTCCCGTTGCGGCATCAACAAACCGAATGTCTTAAACTCAACACTGAATGCATTGGAACCGTGTTTTTTGGTATTCACCTGACGGCTAACAATGTAAATGATTTAGAACGACCGCGTTTGATGGCTCATTAGCTCTATTTCTATAAAGATGGCACACATTGGTCAACTCAAATTGACGTACATTTATGTACGTCTATGCATATATGGGTTAAACTAAGGAAGCTGACAGTCTCTTTGTCATCTCTTTCATGCTAGCCCTGAAAATTGTACTTGAGCACTTGCCACTTGGTATGTCCCAGTCCATTCTCGATAGACCGTCAAGTGTTTCTCCACGGCGCGCCTTTTCTCTCTCGTCGGCCATGACTGATGGCAGCCTGCTCCCGTCCTTAGTACCCCTAGTCACTGATTGCTGACGCCCACCGGCCACCACCCTGTGTGACCTCTGACCCCGCCCTCCTATGTGCCCATTTCAAACAACGCTGACTGCTGCTGTCTGTGTATTGCAGTGCGCAAGTGTCTGATCACGTTCGCCGTGTTCAGTTTCCTGTTCGCGGCGGCGCTGCTCATCATCAGCGTTCTGCTCGTACAGGCCCTCAGAAAGGTGGGTATTGACTGTTGAGTCAGCTAGACAAATGGACAGGTAATCGGGCAGACACCATCGTATCCGAGCCGTGGCATTTCTGTTTTTGTTGAAAGGCTATGAAGTTCCAAGAGTCGTAAGAAGAGGCGCAATATGCCATATACAGTATGCTTGATGACGTCTCATCCATTCGCATTCCACAGTGAGTGACAGTTTGCACAGTAACTGTAACCTTCTACATACATAGCTCGCCTTCGTCCCTGCTTGCTTCTCACTCGTGACTCTTTCCTCCTTTTTTGCAGGAGAGTGAGAAGGAGATCCGTCCGTGGCTGCTTATCATGTTTTTCCACACCAGCTGGCGGCTGTTCGCGCTGGTATTCGGCTCGCTGGTCAACGACCTCTACTTCGCCTACCACGGCCTCATGTGCTTCCTCTGGTCGGTGATGATCCTGCTGAACGTCTACGGCTGGCTGGTCGTCTGGTCCTTCTTCAACGAGCTCACCGAGGTCTCCAAGCTGGAGGACATCGCACACCTGAAGGTGAGGCACAACACTGACTCTGTTTTCCTCAGGCAAGTTCGTCTTGGGAAACACTTTGGTGCATGGTGAAGATATTGACAACCTGTTCAGTGGACAGTGTTCAATAATCAAGTCAATCTGGAGAGCCGTCAACTGCGTTGTTTGGTGGGCGTACGGAGCGGACGTTGCAGACGCATGCGTGGGTGGACCCCGCAGTACATTCGCAGCTGTTGGTTCCTTCTTCGTCTGTCGATGACTCCTATATGGAGACTTTGGAGAGTCCGCCGAAAATAAGCCGGGAACCGCGGCTCGTCGGTGATGACCACTCGGTCGCTGACTCTGTCCCTGCCACTGCCTCCTCCCCTGTATATCCGTTAACGTGTATCTGTTAATGATCGGTGATTTTGTGTTGCCCCTCACACGCAGCTAGCCAGTCGGGCCGCCAGCCGGGCGTCGACGCGCAGCGTAAGTCGACTTGCCACTAGTTATTAGTTGTCTAAATCCCCTTCCCATTTTTAAGTCTATATTAACCCTCGCCGGCCGAGGGGGGCGGGTGCCGCCCCCCCCCATATGTTTTTTCGCGATAGCTCCGAACACGCTGGCGATAGAGAGCTGAAACTTGGCATACCTGACCTTTGATTCAAGCCAGATCTTTTGACACCAACCGCATTTTTGGGTCAGGTCAGGTCACTGACCTATGACGTCATAAGTGAACCTCTGCAGTCTGCACGGTCTTCAGATGTCGCAACTTCGCAACGCCCTCACTGCCAGAGGAGATGTCACAGGGAAATGAAACTTGCAGGATCTAGTATCCATTATGAGTCTCACAAGTTGTATATCTCGGATTTTTCCTAAAGGTCATATGAGGTCAGGTCATTTTCGTGACCTCACCATTATAAGTCAATGGGGAAAAATGAAAACTGCTATTCTGGCGCCGGGAACGATCTCCAACTATCTCAAGCACACAGAATCGTGATTTGATGCACTCCTTGCAAGGTTAGATGCGTCACTTTTGCAATGTTGACCTTGCGTGACGTCATTTATGACGTCATCAAGGTCATATTAGTTTTTCGTCAATAACTCCCGATCAAATTGAGCTAGCGAGTCTGGAAAGCCACCAATGGACTCAGGAAGACCTGCCGAATCGAATGATATGCGATATGACCTCTTTCGACCAACTTCGTGACCTGGGGGTGCTGACCTGACCTTGACCTGAGGTCGACACCCTAAGTCGACCTGACCCGAACAAAAAGTATATCATTCGACGCGCCTGAGCGAGACGAACACGATGCTGCCAAAATCGCGGCTCTGCGGCCGTTTTTTGCGAAGTTATTCACCAAAAACTGAACCGTACCTTGGGGCACTTGACCTGACCTCAGAGGTCACCGGTTGACCTAGGACCTTAAAATCGGGTACCAATCTCTGCGTCTCGTAACGGCGCACACGCTCGTTTTTTTTCCGCGACGCGCTAGTTCCACCAGGGGCGAAACGACGAGGGGGGTCGTACCCGCTCCCCCCCTCGGCCGGCGCGTATGTAGAAAACAAATATGTAGGTCCGGCGAGGGTTAAGTCTTACTCGAGTGCGTAAGTTTGACGGTAATGGCGCAATGTTTGTCAGTTGTCACTCAGTGATTATGAATAGCATTCTCTCATAACACGGTTTGCTAAAATGAAAATTAATGGAAAGCAGCACCCCCAACGCTCAGTTAATGTACTTGATAAAAATGTTGTAACGGCAATATCAAGTTCGCGAGCCTGCTTGGCGTGCTCCTAAGTTACGGCTGCTGCTTATTTTTTATCATATCTGGTGGCCCTTTCAGCAGCGACGCTTATTAAGTTTTACATTTACCTGGAGTAGTAGCTCCTCCGGTCTATGATAACTCTCTTTCCTGTGGTGACCCCTCTAACCCCCTTCGATAACGCCCCTCCAGCAGCGCCCCCTCAGTGACGCATCCCGCGGGTCTCGGCCGGCGGACGACCCGTCCCCGACTGGCTCGGTCCCTCCGGCCGTGGACCCGCCGGCCGCCTCCCCCAGCCTCGCCAGCATACCCGAGCTAGACTCGGTCGTGTGAGACGGCGTGACCTGAGGACTGACGTGAGCGTCTGCTCGTGCTGTTCGTGCTGTGCTGCACCGCCTGGCTGTTACACGGTGCACTCGTAAAAAGAGCACATGTTGCACACATGTTGACAATGGCACTACTCTTATTAGGGGAAGTTGGGGCAATGCCGGAGTTGGGGCAAAGCCGAAATTCGAGATATTTCGAAAACCGTACGACATGGATGCCACCTGTCAGTGATGCTCTGAAGCTTAAGTGACTACCAATTATCGCATGTTTGTTACCAGTCGTCATTCGGAATACTTCGGCTGTGAGGGCGCCAAGAGCGTTTTCAAGGTACGTTTCCTTTGTACTACATGCGTCTTCGAAGCTGCATTTCCTACTCATTATGCTACCGTTTGTCTGGCCAATTCGGTCAAGTAATCTTCAGCACGTCTTTGCATAAGTGTGCTGCCTATTTGAAATTTATACAGCACGTTGAAAAGTTATGGGCCTGCAAATGAAAGTATGGCTGGCTGGGGTAATGCCGAAAACGTGCAATTACGCGCGTTAAAGCACGCTACGTGAACTTTACCGCTGTAGAATAGCAACGCGTATTTTTAGTCACACAAATTACACTTTTAACCGACACAACGGCCTGTTACCATAAGGAATGATTTACCTGGCCTTTTCTTATTATATTACACAATTATAACTTCCAGTGTGCACCAAGCGTCCTCAAGCTCTTAAAACGCGTGTCAGCTTTGACGAATTCCGGATAAAATTTGAGATAAAATAGCAAAACATCAATTTCGGCATTCCCGTAGATCATTTCTCCCATCTTCGGCTTTCCCCGCAGTCCGGGGCAACGCCGAAAAAGTCACTTCTTTGATATTTTTAGTTTGTGCGCATAACGGTATGCGAATTCATCAAATGCGCCTGGTATGTTTGAAAGGCAAAAGACTGGCCTCTCGAATGACGCCAACAAGAATAGCTTATGTTGTCTACCTTGCGTGCTACGGGCGTCAGAAAAAAAGTATTCGGCGTTCCCCCAACTTCCCCTACTGAACGTGGTTATGACGATTATGACCTCAGGAAGTAAATATTTTTTATGCTGCATGATTTTATATTCGCCCATCTATGGAAGACGATATTTACGCAAACATTTTAATCCAAGAAGGTTTTCGCTTTTTACATTGATGCAATAGCCCTATTGGCTGCTGCATAATTATTTGCTCACCAGTGGCTACAGCAATATGTAAATACATCTTTTTTTGGCGCAAAATGCCCCAGTTATAGCACTTCGTGCCCGAGAAGTCATATCAAACAGCATTGACGTTTTCTTTTTCTTCACCATTGGCAGCACTCATTTTTTGAAGCCACCATATTTTCAGAGGGCGCAAGCCGACCAGGAGTAGCCGCATGGCCCAGCCCTGGCACTTTTTCCTCGGTGTTGTGTGATTTCGCTTTCAATATATCTGAAGAGGAAGTTTCAGTCGATGTCTTATCCGGTAGCGTAGGTACGCGGAAAATCTGACCGTTTTATCTTTGAAGCGCACGCTGCTGACCGCTGAACTTCAATGTATTGTGAATGCTATTTATCCTGATGCTGTGGGCATGGGTCAATGTTCAGATGATGTGTCCTACAAATGGAGAGGAAAATGTTGCTGTCTACTGTCAATTTTCTCGACAGCGTTAGATTGCTTAGTTCAAAGTTCCGCCCTAGTCCACCAGACGTCGCTGTGTATGATAAATTGCATTTCGTCGTCCGCTCACTGTCAGATGAATCAACAGCGGAGGTCCCCGCTTCGTGTATCGTTTGTGCCATATCTGACATAACTTTGTCCAATCTTTAGCAAGGGAACAACACCATGAGATCCCTGCATTTTGTGTGCTGTTGGGCTGCTTCAGCTGAGACACTACGTCGCCCTCTGGCCTCTGTTAGGTGAACTCATCAAGTGTCTGCAATGTATGTGTTTTGCTGCGTTGTGTGCCCTGTGATGCCGTGTCCGATAGAACACTCCTATGTCGTCATCTACTGCTGATGGACATAATATCAGGTTGCTGCCTTGCGTGTGTTGTGTCGTATGCCGTATGATTTCACGTCTGACATTTCGTCTCTCTCCACCTTCAGATGGGCACCATGACATCGCTGAACCACACCCAGTACTCGCACACGCCATCAGTGAGCATCCAGCCGTCATCGCGACCCATCACCCCGCACAGCTATGGCGGTCACAGCGCGGCCGTCTGAGACGCAGCGGTACCCCAAACCCTGTCTGGATGGCTCCCGTTGGGCTGCCGTAACCAGCGGCCACAGTGCGGCCGTCTGAGACTTGGCGGTACCAAACCCTGTCTGGATGGCTGCCGGTACCCCGCATAGTGGCCACGCAACAGAGACCCAACAGTACCGAACCCTGTCTGAACTAACGGCAATCGTCAATCGTCACACCGTATAGCTACTGAGCAATATCCCTGCGAAGCAAAACTGTAGCTTATGCCACTGAGCATTTGTCATGCGAAGCAAAGCTATGGCTGCTGCCTTCTGATCTACGTCTACATCGCTAGGGCCCTACGTGAGCTGAAGCGCCCGCCCAAAAAGGAACAGTGGTCTGCGTAGTTACGTCGCTAGTAACAGCTACTGGTATTGATCATGTGGCTTTGGCAGAATGGCTCATAGCCTCGGAGTGTCGGTTAAACATCGGTCTTCTGGGTAGCCGACTGCTGTGGAGGCGTCGGTGTATATGAAGTTTGTCTTTGGTGATTAGTGATTACTGGGACCTTGGAGAACGTTTGGGAGATGAAGTGACCGTATTCTGGCTGACGCTGGTGAGTACGGTAATCATGGTCTTGGACATGTGGATTTAGTCGAGGGAGAGTCGGAGACCCTTCAGTTTTGGACCGGAGTGTCCTACAACTAAATTATGGACGCTTTGTGTCTCCTGTTTGGCGTTGTCGTTCGTGCTGTAACTGTCATCCGTCCATGTTGTGATCGTGAAACATATTTTTGTACATGAGGTTTTCCTCGAGCTGTAGGAGAGATTCTGAACGGAAAATGGGGCAGCTGGAGTCATCAGCTGTCTACACTAATGGACAATAACGAAACTTTCATTGGTTTGATACTTGAACTTTACGGCCGCGTATAGTTTATGGCAGTTGTTTAGCCAGCTTTGCTATTTTTCATCTGCACATTGTTCATTTGACACTAGCTTGAATCATGTAGATCTGAATGCATCATTTCCATGCTGTCTTCTCGTTAGTTTTTGCGCAGCTTACTGTGTATCCCCTCTATAGTAATATATTTTTATATGAAATCGCTCGCACATCGAACGGTTGGTTCTCTAATTTTCGACTGTTCGAGCTTTTACACTTTTCTGTTGTTTAGGATAATGTCGTTAGAATTTGCATGCATATTGGATCTCGAACATCGCTCGACTTGTTCATTTTTGCAGCTATAGAGGTCCAAAACCACGCACATAGTGTTAGAACTAGCATAGCTTTGTGTTGCACCGGTGATTTTTTCACGTTTTTACTGCCCTAGATAGTTTCGCTGATGTGTTGTGTAAATATAGTCCTATGGTTTAGAGGTGGCATACGAGTGTGTGCACATCTCGCTCCGAGCAGCACTGTTATCGTGCTATCTCTGCTTTTTATCTGTTATCTGTAGCTAATGTTCTTTTAATTGCTGCCTGTGGCGGAGGTGGTCCTCGTTCGCAGCACTAGCCATCGTCATTTATAATCTGCCCCTGTTCGACTCGATGGTAGGCTTACTGTAAGTTGCTGCTGTTTGGAATTCCGGCCGTATGCATGCATGTAACGGTTCTTTCCATTGCTCTGTAATGCGCTAGCAACCGTGCAGCTCGTCAGTACGTCATGCCTGTTGATGGTGTTCAAGCATTATCCGTCCACATCGTAGCTCAACTGTGCATTTTGCCGGCCGTCTTGTAACTTAGCAGTAAGCTGTGTTCGTTTTAAGCCCAGCCCCGCCTATAGCGAATGAAAATTGGCTTGCGCTGATCAAGAACGGCATTCCTAAACAGCTCCGCTCGAGTATCTATGAAACTATTCCGTCCAAGTTGATGTGTCTGGCCTGGCCAGCAGACGTCTGTTTCGTCTGCCGTCCTCTGTCCTACCTGTTTGTTTTCTATGTATCGCTGACGGAGGCCCCGTACTTACTGTATACAACGACGTCATTCCAATACACTGCTGAGTGTAGATGGATGCTTTGGATTGGACCGAACAGGAGGCGTGGCAATGTGTGGCTGGGGCCGCGGGGTGGTTACAGCTGGGATGATAGCCGAACGCTGACACCTGAACCTCTGTAGCCGGGCTGATGTCATCAACAGGGACAGACTTCTAGTATGGTTCTCACGACTGCTACAGCCCAGCATTGACACGTAAGTTACCGGCCGAGAGGCTTCTTTGGCGCCGGCACCAATGCTGCGCAACTTATGCTTCCTATCCTATCCCATCCCAGACACTAGCATGCTCGGGGATCAGGACGGTGCCCTAATCACCTTCATATGATCAATCGATATCAGTAAAGTCCAACCTACCTTTGCTGTGCTGATGAACGTGACTCTGACTTGTGTACGGCCTGCTCACCCCTCCCACCCCTCCCCTTGAATGAGAAAAAAAAATGAAACGGATCCAACTACGTTGTGCGGCGTCCTGCTGCGTAACGCTGGCTGAAGAGTCCGGAATAACTAGCACCCCTCAACTTGCAGCAAGAAGCTTCGAGAGTCGGAGAGTTTCAGTCTTGCCTTGGGTCATATCCAGAAAGCCATGTCCTGCCGATGGGACCTGCACGCACCACGGGTTCATTGACTGGCCCTCGGGCTGCCCATCTCCCGTGGCATGCGACCAGTATGACGCAATTTTCCCTCAGCTGTGCGTGGATCAGCTGGGGCGGTGCCATCCCCCTCCCCCTCCCCTCCGATGTGGAGGGGGGGGGGGGGCGGCCGCGCTCTTGCCAAGGTCGTCACCGAGCGAGGGCTCGCCGGGCGACAGCCAATGGGCGGCCGCCGAGCGCTACGGCTGAATTTCGTGTGCTCTGTGTGCCTTCAGGCCATGTCGCGCCGGTATTGAGTCACTATTGGCGGCCGCTGTCTGGCTTTGGACGGCCGGCGCTTCAGAGGCGGCGGCATTCGAGTAGCAGGCGGCGGTCCGGAGCGGCGCGAGAGGGCTCGGGCCAACCGTCGCTGGCGGCGCTTCTACTCAGGTCCGACTCTTCAAGCTCAGGTAAGAAATACTCAACCCTATTGCCCATTTTACTGTCTTGATTTGTCCATTTACGTGCCCCAGCAATGGCGAATGGCGTGTCCCACTTGCCATGCCACCGCCTGTGCGATTACGCAACTGTACAGTGTAGTGGAGGCCATGACTGTGCGAAGGCTGTCTGCCGGCGGGGGCCGTTCACGGATGTTACACCCTTCCTCCTTCTGAATGGGGAACTGACGTGGGGAGGGGTACCGATGGACTTCCGGGATGAGACCACAAGGCCGCGGGTTGGGGTAGAGTGCCTGTGTAGCATGCTTCGATGGACGGTGTCATGTCGACTGCCTTATGAATGTCTGTCATTGCCGGAGCCTGGACACTGGGAATTCCTCACTAGATGAGGCCTGGTGGCCTGTGTGACTGATCAGAGTGAAAGTTGGTCTGGCCCTGGAATCCACGCTCTTCCCCTCCCCATCAGCCTGGCGGAAGCCCGGAGGCCGGGGCATTCCGACGGCACATTTTGTAGTCTCCTTTTACAGTCCTAAGTCCTAACTACAAACCCAAAAGCTATGATTGCGGCGCATTGGGTTTACCGTTTCAGTTTGGCCGTACCTAGCTAAGAAAGAAGCTTTTCTGTTGGATTTGCGGTGCAAAACACGGACGAGCGGTGTTTTGTATGCGTCGCGTTGTTCTAGCTCGTCTCGTATCACGCCTTTCCTCCAGAACGCATTTTATGCAAATTTCAGTATGTCGTGTAGTGCTCGGGACACAGGTGTTTGGTCTAATGTCTCGAAAGCCCGGGCCTTGTCGGCTGTCGCGAGCCGCGGTATCGCGAACACAGCAGGACGACTGCGGTGTTTGGCTGGAGTCTCAGCGACCGAAACTTCCGGGTTGCAATGTGTTGACCGCTGCTCCAAATTGCTCCATCCTGCATTCCAATGGTATCCCGTGATGTTTGAACTCGTGATTTGCACACACTGGCTCTCATTGCGAAACTGCTGGCGGGGCTGCGCGGGGTTGCCGTCCTCCGGTCCTTGCTCCAGTTTCGATCTTATCTGCTTGAGAGAGTCCCGAATGACCTATGGTGGTCAAACACTGCCAGCCAGACACTCGAACACAGCTGTATAATACTATCCTCTTGGTGCTGTCCAACTGGAAGCCGTCTAGTGGCCGTTGTCCGTTTAGACACTGCCCGCTGCCCGGTCTTCTTCCGTTTACACTGTCTGGTGTGACCATGTTGTGTCGCTGTCCAGTCCCATACTGCTGAACCGCGTCCGGCCACTGTTTTATCTGGTCCAGCATTTCCTCCAGCTGCTATCCAGTCCGATGTTGCTAGTTGGATGTTCCAGTCAGACAGCCCTCTGTCCGGTCTGACACTGGTCTGTCTAGTGTCTGGTCTGTCATTCTGTCTCTGCCCAGTCCGGTATTGTCCCTCCAACTGTTGTACGGTCCATTGCGTCCGATCAGGCACTGTTCTCTGTTCGGTTAGGTACCGTGCCCTGTGGGATACTGTTCCGTTAGGTGCCGTGTTCGACTCTTCCTTTTCATTTGCTTCCCTGTCGGGCCGGAAGACAAATGTTTGTTCACTGTTTACTGTTCAGTCACCGGCTAGTCGTTGAATATCCCACTCATGCGTTGTCCTCTGTCTATATATTTTTCTTCAAGTTGAGAAAGTTGGAGCTCAATTTGAAATAAAGATATAATTCAGTTTGAATTGCATTTTTTTCAAATTGAAGTATCGCATATTTTTCAAATTGATCTACAACTTAAAAAAAAAAATGAAGGAAAAGGGTGTAGTGTTCACTCTTGTCCAGTCTACTCAGCCCGATGTTGACCGTGTCCGGTCAAATGCTACCTGCTGTCTGGTCCATTGCTGTCCACTACCGTCTGTCTGCCTCCCGGTCCGTTATTGTCGGCTTCCCGAATCAATACTGCCCAAAGAATGCGTTTCTCTTCACTTTCTTCTGTCAGTGCTGTCTTCGCGTTTGTGAACCTTCGTTTCACCTTTGTTTGTGAATGCGAGTTCTCAAGGTAATTTTTATACGACTTATGATTATCCAAACTCCAAAGTGGTTAAATTTGTGTATTTTGTAACATTTGTCAAAAGTCGTTTCCTGAGATATATAGTTTAACGTTAATGCACGATGCGATGACAATATTCTAAGTCACATTATAAACTCCCAGACCTATTGATAATGTGTTTTAGCACGCCACGCACGTCCAGTGATATTATCCTAACCGATGGCATTGATTTGTTGCAGTGGGATCGTGCAATGGCTGCCAACCAGTCTAGGGGCAAGGTCATCCAGGCCTACAAGAACGTAAGTAAGACGGAAGTGACCGCGATGTAGAGATTGCTACCCGTCCAGCGCTGCGCTCTGAATGAATCATGGCTGCGCCAGTGCAGTGTGTGCGTGCGTGTTAATTTAGCGAGAGTGACTGAGCATGTGCGGGGTTGGACGATGTTTGAACATCCACAGGAATGTTGTAGCTGGTGTCTGTTTGAAGTGACGTGAAGGACGATATGGCCTCGCTATCTCTGCCGGCCTCTCGAGTGATAGGCTGATAACAGAGGTGCAGCCGCACTGGGGAGGGCTCGACGTCTGATAAGCTGAATGGGGTAAAAGGAAAAGGCGGTGCGGGATAAGCCGGTCAGATCGAAGGGCGAGCGGTATGGATCGGGAAGTCCCGGCTGCGATAATTTCAGTATACTTGATGTTGACCTTGTGGTCAGTGGTCTGAGTCGGGGATCAATCTATTTGTTACTTCAGACCTAAATCCCGAGTTGTATGTCCATTCAATGAGACCGCCAAATGACAATGTTTTGACATTAGTTATCCTGGCTTTTTTCCTTTCAGTTGACACTTCGGTTATCGGTATATCTCCGGTGTTTGTGTTATTCGTGCTGTCCCTGTGCCACTTTGGGCTGGCACTGGAGTTCCTTTCCTCTGAGGTCGCTGTCATACGATGATTTATACCAGATTTATACTGCCCTTGTTATGTCATAGTGTTACGTACGGAACTCCCGTTTTTGCGGGACTAACGATTACAACTTTTTAGGTTCCGCTAGTTTTTATTAAACGACACAGTCTGACTGCCGACGTCTGTTCCCAATTGTGAGCCGTCAGCCGACATTCTGTAGCTGTCCACGAACCATTTGTTACGGCGCAGAGGTCACTGAAGTTCATGCTCATGGACATGGAGGCATTCAAGGCCCAAAGGGTATTGAGACGTTCCGAAAACACCTTAGTATTGTCTACATAAGGTACTGAGGATGTGAAGTAGCTAAGCATCCGTACCATCAATCCCATCAATAAGAAGTATTAAATCCCACCAATTAGAAGTAAGCATCCCATTTATGGACTCGACATTTCAACCCATTAAGGGAAGGGAGAACCGACTATGCTCTCGGTCGTTTCAAAATCGTAATGCAAGCTCAAATTTTTCGACTCCTGGCACGACCTCCGCAGTTTTCCACGACCTCGCTGACCTGACTTAACATAGAAGCATGACGTCCTGTCGCCCATCCGTGGGGTTTCCGCTCTGACGGCAGCTCTCCCGCCCACCCGTTCTGCCTCGAGGCGCTCTGTGACCTTGGAAGGGGTCCAGCCCCCCCCCCCAGCCCGCCTGGTGACGCCGCCGGCTGAGTTTCACGGTCATGGGAGCTCCCCCCGCCCCGGCCATGCTGCGGGGGGGTGGCAGACAACGCCCGTTTTCCGGATGGGTCTTCAAAGGGACCGACAAGGGGGTTAAATAACGACTAGTTATGTAAGGATGGAAGGGGGAGCTGTTACTGCAAATGGGACGTGGATGAGAAACTAGAAGAGAAGCCGTAAGGTCAAAGCTCTTTAGGAGTGCTATTTTGTTTTCTTATTATTTGCTATATTCAGCGGTAACCGGATCCCCTGCGTCGTAATTCGCAGTAGTTCGTCTCACTGCGACGAGGAAACGTATTTTTGGTCCATTTTTGGTGCCCTTTTATAGCCGCGACTCGTGAGCGACTTGAACACAAATAGCTCTGGGAGTTAGGGTAAGGGCGGGTAAGAGTACGCGGGCGATAAGAGTACGCATCAGCTGTTTCGGTTGCTTAGCAACGCGGGTTTGTCGAGTTCATGAAGTGACATGAAGCCGCCAGTGCGTGCTTGTCACCAACGGAACGTGGGCGTTGAGCGGCGACGCTGTTGAGTTTAAGGCGATGAATATTATTTTCGAGCGTTATGATATTATTATGGTATGGTACAATAATTTTGATACTTGGCAGTTGAGATAAGGTACATTTCCGTGATTGTTGTGGGAAACTTGTGAGGTTATCTGGGGAAATACTGTGCAGTGCAATATTCTGTTTGTGAAGTTTTGCACAACGTTTCGGGGTTGTTTTGTGCGCGAATTGCATGTACGGTAAGAGGACGCACTGTTCAGGAGAGTAAGAGTACGCAGAATTATACATTAAATCGAATATACAGAAATATAGAATTATTAATCTATCTCTCAATGACGTTTGTTTTGTAGGTATATCATCAATGGAGCACTGTGATGCAGATGCGTACCCGAAATTCTTCCAAATACGAGTTATTCTCCCTTTTGATTGTGCATTTTTTTAAGAAACACACGACATGGTTATTTCCTGATTTATAGACTTGAAGGATTTATTTTATGTTTTTCTTTTTGGATACTAGAGTTAACTTAAATGCCTTCTGAGTTTTAAGTTAAGCATTTGGACAGTACAAGCTGCATAGGTGTGTATTCATATGCTTGCGTACTCCACCCGCCTGGCGTGCGTATTCTTACACACCCCATATGGTAAGAGTATAACGCAACTGCAGCGGTTCAGAAAATGTCAGTTTTAGACCACTTCCATTTACGCTGAAGGATCGTTGCCCCATGGGTTGATGGCTAATTCAATGAACTTTAATATTCCCTATTTGCGATTTCTTTCCTTCAAACATTAAACAAATGAGAGCAGTGGCGGCGGAAGGTATTCTAGGATAGGGGTGCAAACGATATTGAAGCGCCCCTTCCCACTGGGCGCCCCTTACCATATACACGGTTGTAGTAACACAAACAGTGAAGAGACGTTTGACATATTGTGGTATGACAGTTTGACGTTTGTGAAAAGCGATAATGTGAACACATATATATTGCACAAACCGGTTTCGATATCACTTCATCAGTGTGCAAATATATAAATAAAACACTCAAAATACAAAACGGAGACGAAATAGGTGCCTATTTCACCTATTTCGTCTCCGTTTTGTATTTTGAGTGTTTTATTTATATATTTGCACACTGATGAAGTGATATCGAAACCGGTTTGTGCAATATATATGTGTTCACATTATCGCTTTTCACAGACGTTTGACAATGTGTTGTACCTGTTAATACGTTCAGATTCAGAATTACAGTTTTTATGTAACGAGAAATACTTAGATTCCATAGCGTAAATGTAACCTTCATAATGTTCGTTTAGAAACAACCTCATCACCATATCATAAGATTCTCCGAATAAGGCATATCGAAAAGAGTTCCACGGTTCCAATACCTTCGTGTGGACTAGTGAATAAGGCGCCGAATCCATAACACTAACTCGGTGACGGAGAACTGCAGGCCGGTAAGCAGCATGCCGCCTGGGCTGCACTGCACTATTGCATTCAGTGGTGTCATCAGTATCACGTCAGCCCTTCGGAACGGACATCCTGGCTCAATGTCATCAGGTTTATGGTGGGAGTAGCAGGTTTGTGACGCCCCAGTGAAATAAATGCCGCCTTTCAACACCGATAGGAGCCCGAAATGAATGAATACAGGCAATCAACGCTGGTAGGTGTCCCAGCGAAATGAATGCATCTATTACCACCCAGAGGTGCCCCCCATTTCAAACTAATACAACGGCGACGCCTCCACACCGATAGGGGCCCATCCCAGGGGAACGGAATAAATGCCGCCCCCTCAGTGCCGGGCGCCCCAGGAGAATGAATGTTACACATCAACACCAATATGCCTCCCAGTGAAATGAATTATGAATGTCGCCTTTCGACGCCGGTAGGCGCCCCAGACACCAGTGGATTTACTGCCGCCTTAAAACACCGATAGGCACCTCAGTGAAGCGAATGCCGGCCTATACCACCGATAAGCGCCCCGGATGAATAAATACCACCCGTCAACGCCGATAGGCGCCTCAGTGAAATTAATGCCGCCCCAATCTCCGATAGGCGCCCCAGGTGATACATGTCGCCCATCAACACCAACGGGCGCCCCATTGAAATGAATACCGCCCTTCAACATTGGCAGACGCCCCAGTGGAATGAATGCCGCCCCACAATGCCGATGGCCGTCCCTGCACTGGAAAATCAGTTTCGCCCCTATACAGGCGCCCATAGAAGTTTGCAAAGTGCTATTCCTGGTCATAATCATCTCCCCAGTAAAAAAAAAAAAAAACGCAAAATACGCCCCAGCACTAGGGGTGTAACCGCCCATACGGAGAGTGCAATTTTACAGGCCCCAATCTCGGACCTCCCTTAACATTTATATGTTGTAAATGGCAAACCGCCCCCGAGAAATGTTACACAAACTAATTTCCTCTCGCATATCGGCCATCAGGCGCCCCTTTTTGTCGCATGGAGCCTGCAACGCTATAAGCCCTCATATGTTCGTGCATTGGCGTTCGGAGGCGTCAATTCATTTTTTTTTCACGCCTTCAAAGACGTCTCCATAAATGTTTCTTTTTCGTCCCACACACAGGCGCCCCTCTTTCGCATGCAGGCGCCCCTCTTCCGCATGGCGCGCTTCTCGAGTGGCTGCGCCCTCCTAGCCTTTGTCCTTTATCGCCTGGCAATATTATATTCTACAGGGTCGGCAGCATCTGCCTTTGTTTCAGATGATGCCCTCCACTCTTCAGCATATCAAAAGATACTTTTCCCACGTCATTGCCACCCTCTTCGTGTCACAAGTGCCTTTATCAGTTGCGGTATCGCACTGCTCAGCTTTATGGCTGCCGCACCTCTTAACTTCCTGCCTCCTCTACAGATTTTCGAGGTGCCCCTTTCCATAGCTTTAGGGTGCAGCTGCCCCCCTTGCCCCCCTGCTTCCGCCGCCACTGAATGAGAGCAAGAAATCCACTAAGTGCGTACTCTTATACGACTTCACCCTACTCGATAGGTCTGCTTAACGCCCTAAAAGCAGGCCTAAAGCCTAAGCTACACTAGCATGAATTCCGACGTTTTTTCGGTTTCTGCGGGATTTCGGTTCGCGTCGTCAAGTTTGCCTCATAGCGAATGCATTGCGCAAGCTACACTACCAGTCTGGCGTCCCGTGGAACGAAAACCCGCAAAAACCGACGAGTCGGAACCGAAAAAAGTTCACAGCTCTGAACTTTTTTTCGGTTTCTGCGGGATTTCGTTTTAGTGATGAATGATTAGAAGTGATTGTTGCTAATAATATTGTGATGATGGAACAGGTTCAAATGTGAATAATGAAAATGGTGTAATTCATGATTTAAAAAAGACAAGATGTGTTTCAAAACTCATCATTCTACTTCAAATATGATAATTGTAATTAAGCTGACAGATGATTATGATCGAAAATATATTTGCAAAACCTTTAAAACAATTATTTAATTATAATTTTGTTAAAACACGATAACATTTAACATAAATAATTAATTAATTTGATCACTTATCCATCACTATGCTATTAAACAACACCGTCCACGCGGCGGCCGCCCGGAACGAAAAAAACGCAGAAACCGTAAAAACGCGGAAACCGAAATCACGCAAAAACCGAAAAAACGCTGATAGTGTAGCCTGAGCTTAAACGCTTCAGAAGCTGGCCTTACACACTAAAATGAAAACGAACGTCTAGATAGTAAGTATTGACCCCTTGAACGAAAATTAATTTCTGAGATGAACGTTTTTATTTTACGTTACCTATAGGCATACAGTGATGTTTCCTGGTGTCGCCTCCCCCTCCCCCTTCCCCTCACACATTGGTTGACCATTTTTACCGCTATTTGTTGTGCTGTTTTCAAGCAGAGCAGCACAATCCTGGGACCTGGGTTGTCTCATGGCAGGTGCATCGCAAGGTGCATCGTCTGTTGACTACTGTAGTGCTTAGGCTCTATCTTGGGCTCTACGTCAATGCGATAATTTCCGGATTACCTATATGTTATACATTAGTCGTCAGCATACCAAATTTGGACCTAACAGCGGTAAATCAATAAAACGAGTCGCACGAATGCTTTATACGTCTGTCATGTCCGTCCCTAGTGTGTATTTCGCTGTGCCCCACCCGTAGTTTTTGTTTCTTTGTCCAGGTTTCTTTGTCCCATGATATTTTGCCCGTCGCCCATGTTTTTGCCTCACATTATTTGCCTTTTTGTTTGTATGCACGGTTATGTCAGAACTCGAGGTATGTAGCCATGGACGTCTGCCTGCCAGTGTGTATTCCCATGTGCCTTTCTGTGACCTTGTTTTGACCGCTATCCCCGCCTGAAGGAATCCTTGTGTTGGGCCTGGCGCCGGGCTGACGGGTATCGCCAACTAATTGTCCGGCCAAGCACAGTAACTGCAGTTATACAGCGTTTGGTGTGGCATTTCATAGTGCCTGCAGTGCGAGTCTTGCATGGAATATATTCCATTATTTGCCGCTTATTTTAAGATAAATATTTGCTGATTATTACCACCTTGCATTTCACCAAGTAAATTTTGTTTTTACGGTCGTTAGCGGAACGGTAATGGTGGGCGTGGCTGCCTGAGGGATCTGGTTTTGGCCCTGTGTTTAGTGCAAATTACCCTGGATGAAACCTCGTACTCCTGCACTATGTAGCCTTCTTCCTCGTTATCCCAGGAGTTCACATGGTGCGAAGCAGTTACGTGCACCACCGAGGCAAGGATATGACATAAACTGAGCCCTTACATAACCGCCGAAACGACCCCTCTTTCTTCGTAACCGGCTCGCGTGCCAGCAACGTAACCTTGGGACGCTGGAGGCCATCTCTGAGGTGACCAGGGGCTGCTGGGCTGGACTCCTGTCCTCCTGCAGATGGCTGGCAGGGGAGGGGAACAAATGTGGCGATGCGGCACGCCCATGACGTGGGATGGCGGCAGCCAGCCAGCCTTTGGTGGAAGGGATGTGGAGGGTCGGTGTGTCATCGTAGCTTTGGTCAATAGTCCGAGGCTCTGAAGGGTCGCTTTACGCTCGGAAGGGTCGATGTTGTCCGTGTCGGCATACCGGACCGTAAGTTTTTGTCCCCTCGGTCCCGGTCAACCGGTATAAACCAGCTGCATCCAGATATCGTCCGGTCGACTGAACTCTGTGTTTGGATGGTGTCAGGGCGTCGGTCTTGGTGGCTTGAGAGACATCGCAGACAACCTTTTTTGTGGGTTGAGGCCTTACACACCAACCGGGAATGTTTTGATTTTGCTCTCTGTCGTCGTTAGCACGCGCTGATACTTTGTTCCAACGATTCGCGTTACTTTAGCATTCTCGTGGTCTGCAGCCCAGCCCAACCCATGAAAGGTGGAACGGTTTGCGCAGTGTATTGGCAACTTAGGGTGGTTTACCGGGCGCCTTGGTGGCTTGACTGTTGGAATCAACGTTTAGATCGTCCAGCGGCCTAATTTTATTTCACAATGAATACAGTGAGAAAAATACCATAACCCTTACCCTGTGTGGCATGTTTCGTGCTGAAACCCAAAATGTGCGCCATATTTTTACTGTTTTTTTTTCCTCCGGCAGTTGCTGCATCTGGGCAAGAACTACCCCAAGGGCTACAACCACTTCCGCGACACCCTGCGCGCGGCGTTCGAGAAGAACAAGGCCGTGGAGGACCCGGAGCAGATCCGCCAGCTGCTCGGCAAGTGCGACAACATCGCCAAGGAGCTGCAGACCCTCTACATGCTGCGTCAGTACCGCAACGTCAACAAGCACTGCACCAGGGAGTACCCCAAGAAACAACGCTTCTCCAACTGAGAAGGGAGTCACTCGAGGTGGCGAGGACACGCAGAAGAGCATGGAGGTTAACAAGATCACCCGGGGTGGGACGGGAAGTGAGAGCTGGATGATGATGATACACCGTCTGGATTCGAGTTGATGTTCGGACTGGACTATTGCGAGGCTGCGCTGTTACGCGCATCTATTATCAATAAGCAAGTGTTTAAAAGACAACGGTCTTCTAAGAGAATTCGAGGCGTTTTATGTGTATGATGCTGTGCGGATGTCATTATGTGAATCATGTGTACTTATGAGGTGGGTCGTAATCAGGGGGGTACGCTCCCGCTGTTTAGCATTACGAAAAATGGTGACAGACGTTTGTGGAGGATTGTCGACGAACTCTTGTTCCGCGAGCAGTACTTACACGCTAGCGGAAAATTCACCAATCAGCGCTCGGCAGTACTCGGCGCTGATTGGTCCGACGCTCGTGACGAAATTGTGGGGGACCGCAGTTATTCTCTATGGACCCGAATAGGCTTTTGGATTTCGGAGGAGTTTCTTTAAAACTATATGCTGATTGGAGCTGTTTTCGAGTTGAAATATATTTCATATGACTGTTAGCTATATAATGACACCATAAAATCATGATTTTAATAAATATTACCGATGTAATATCGGCCGAAAAGACATGCTGTCATGGCACGGACTGCCCTGCGGCTGATGTGGGGCCCCTAGTGCCAGCGTATGGTAATAATGGGTTGACGAAGGGTTATTGGAGAAACTTAGAGCCCCATCAGCATTCAGTAGAGGGTCATCAGAGGCCGGGAATGTCCATCAGAGGTCTGAGTAGGCCTGTCATAGGGGCATACATGACACATCATGGCCCATGGGTCAATGTAGATCCATTAGGGGCCGTTGAAGGGCCATCATTGTTCAGCATGGGCTCGCAATTACCTCTGATGGGCATATGCCGTGCCCCGATGGACTAACGCTGGCCCCTGATGAACCATCACCAGCCCCTGATAGGTCTACAAAGCCCCCTGCTGGTTCCAAATTGGTCACTGATATGCCGAAATGGGCCACTGAGAAACCCGTACAACATCCCCTGACTGCACCTGCTGGACCAGTGCCGTCCCCTCATGGGCCCACCACAGCTCTTGAATGACCTTTTCAAGTCCCCTGAAGTGCCTTTATTGGCCTAAATGGCCCCTGATTGACTTATGTGGTCCCTATTGGTCCTATATGGCCCCCATGAGCCCTCAAGACAGCCTTACATTATATGCCACTGGGCCCTGTTGGGTCAGCACCGGCCCCTGATAGGCTTGCACTGGACCCACCGGGCCTATACCGACCCATGAAGGGCCTATGTCGAGCCCTCATGGACCTCCGATGACCACACGCCGGCATGTGTGGCCCCATCAGCAGTGGTCCGTCTATCCCATGTGCTTACGGTCTTTTTGGCCGATGTGACACCGGTAGTATATAGAAATGTTATGATTAAATGTCGTTATTACACAGTCAAAAGTCACAGAAAGAATATCCAAGCTCAAAAATTGCCTCAAACCCAACAAAAACTGGTATAAATCCTGTAGTAATGCAAAAAGTCCAGTACACTCAGATGCCTCTATTCACACCCGTACCCGCTCGTGTCCCGGAGCGCACTGCCCGGCTTCACCACATTAGCCTAGATCATACCTCTGTACACGTCATATCACGTCATATCACGTCATTCTGAACCCTAGACAAAGGCTGATCAATTTCTCCCTCCGCCGACTCACCGTCGCCATAAGACCCTGGCTCGCAATACGACGCGCACCATCATCGCTCGAACCACGCAATGACTAAGACACAGACTACACCTCACCCTGATCCTCAAGATCATCACTTCCGCTGCTGCTGTTTAACGCATCAATCGGCACCACGTGGCCGAAGAAGTCAGGCGGCCGCCGATTACGCTGACCTCGGCGCACCACCCTTTCGCCGCTGTCGCTCTCAGACCGGCCGCATTCACCACCCGCATCATCAGCCTCCTCCACCGGGCGCCCCGGCGCGCCATCGCCCTCATAACCGAATGTCATGACGATCGGGGACCCGGCACGGTCCTCCTCCGCTTCCTGTGGGCCCCCGCTGCCCCGGTCGGGGGTCCGAGGGCCTGCTGCTGGTCCCCCGGTGTCACCGCAGTGGCGGAGGTCTCTGATGTGCCAAGGCACGCCGCCCACTTCAACCACCTGCGGCGACACCACGCCAGACACCGTTCCTCGAACCGACCGCTCGGTGCAGCGGGTGCCCGGCCGCCTCACCCACACGGCGTCCCCCACCTGGAAGTCGCCCTCCCGCCGGGCTGGCGGCCGTCCTATCACGGCCTCCTCGGACGCTCCGGCGGTAGCTCTTTGTCTCACGGCGTCCCTCACAGGGTAGCGGTAGATGCCGTTGGCGGGCGCCTCAGCCGCCGTCCCGCCGTCACGGGGCGTGATATTGTACAGGTGCACGGCCTCTCCGATGCCACACTTCTTCCGCGCCGCGATCACTTTGACACTGCGGTGGTTCCGCTCCACGATGGAGTTCCCGCTGGGGCGATGCACTGCGCGGAAACGCAGCAGCACTCCCCAGCGGGCAGCGAAAGCGGCGAACTGACGACTGCGGAAAGCGGTGTCGTTGTCCGCCAGAAGCTCAGCCGGTGCGCCTCGCTCCGCGAACACTTGTTCGAGTTCACTCGTGACTGTCGCCGCGTCCGACCGCCGCAGCAGCCTCCACACACAAAACCGTGACGGGCCACAGTCTATCACCGACAAGTAGGACTGACCACCGTAGTGCGTGACATCGATGGCCAGCCGGTCCCACGTCCCCTCCACAGCCAGCGACCCGTGCCTCCAGGTCACCGGCGCCGGGTCAACCGCGCGGCAGACGTCACAGGCCGTCACCACTTCCCTGACCACTTTCCGGGAAATCGACGATGACACATCCCGACGCGCGAAATACAGCGTTCGTCGGACACCCGGGTGACCCGCCCTGACATGTACGTCAGTGACGGCCTGTCGGAAGTCCACGGTAACGGCGCCGCCGCCGTCTCCCACTTCCGATCCAACCACTGCCGCTGCTGCCACTGGCTGTCCATCGCTCGGCCGCTGGTCCGCTGGCTGCGAGTCCTGACGCAACCACAGGGACGGCACTCGGGTCAGCGTGTCCGAACGGTTCTGAGACGAGCGGACTAGAGACACGGTGAGAGAAATGCCCAGCTCTGCGACCAGCTGCCTGATGACGTCGACCCGCCGGCGGATAAGCATCTCTCCATGTGCCTTGGTTCGCAGTCTCGCGCGCCCGCTCAGAGCGTCGCTGACCCACCGGTGAACAGTGGCGGAGTCCGTCTTCAGCTCGATGGTCTTCATGTCCCACGCCAGGGCCAGGTTGATGCCCCGCACGGCGGCGTCGAGCTCCGCCATGTTGATGTGGGTGGCCTCGTCCCGGCGGAGCCAGCACGCGTCCTCGATGACGTCACCTCCCTCGCTCTCCAGCACGACGCCGGCGGCTATCGAGCTGGCGTCCGTCCACAGTACGGCGCGGTGCCCAGTCACGCACCACTGCCCACGGGCCGGGTCCTCGCTCGCCAGTCGCTCAGCCACGTGCTTCAGCTGTTCCCGCAGGGCCGCGTCGTGTGTGACGTCATCCCACCCGCGTGTGAGAGAGTTGACACGACGCTTCAGCCACGCTGTCGCTGGTCTCAGCCAACCGCAGACCGGCAGGTGCGCCACGATACGACCACACCATGAAAACACGGAGCGCCGCGTCATTGCCGCGGGCGGTGAGCCGACTGGGTTGTCACGCCTCCAGGCCAGCCCACCCCCGACTGGCTCCACACGCAGTCCCAGCAGCCGCGCTCCGTCCGCAGCCCGCTCCGGCGGCTTACACTGGAGCCCATAGCTCGCGAAGTGGGCGATCACGCGCTCCGCGCTCACCACGTCCTCATTGACGCACAGATCGTCGACGTACGGTATGACGGCGCCCTGCATCACTGGGTCCTGTTGCAGCACCGTCCGCACCACCGCCTTCATGATGAGAGGCGCGACGTTGAGCCCGAATCCGACACGGGTAAGAGCGTACCTTTGGCCATCAATCACGACTGTCTGAAACGGCCACAGCCGACGATCGGTCCTGAGCTGCAAGTACGCCCTCTTCAGGTCGACGACGGCGACGTTGGCCCCGTGCCGCCGCCATTTCCTCAGCGTGTCGGCACATACGTCAGCGTCGGCCGTGTGTGCCTCCACATGGCTGTTGAGCTCGCGGCAGTCTAAGACTGGTCGTACTTTAGTCTTGTTCTGCTGTTCAACAGCCATGAGAGGGATCAGCCCGCGCGGCGGCCCGTCCACCGTCTCGTCGTACGGCTCCAGCCAGCCGTTGTCGATCCATGTACGGAGTTCAGCATCAAACTCCTGCCGTGCCTCGGCCGGCACGCCGTACTGGGGGACACCGTTCCTCAGGCACCCTGGCTCCGCCCCGTTCCGCCACTTCCACGCCACCGTCCAGTGTTGACTTTTCGCGTCATAAGTGACCGTGAAGTCTCGCTCTTCCACGGTCAACGCCGGGGGCGTCACGGCGCTGCATCGCGGCGGCACCCCTCCCGGGCCCGGCACGGCCACGTCGGGCCTCTCGCTGGCACCGAACACCACATCGTCCGCCGCCCGCACTGTCACCCCGCCCAGCGCCGCGATGCCGGTCATCCCCACCAGCATATCCACGCCCAGTGGTTTGTCCGGCACTACCACGGCGCTGAGCGTCACCGCGGGCCCGCCGCTCTTCAGCTGAACCGCCACCTCCGTTACTCCGCTGCTTGGCAGCCGGGACCCGTTGACGGCCATTACAGTCACGCCGCACCGTCTCCAGCTCGCGCAGCACGACTCGTGGATGATGGTGCAGCTGCAGCCCGAGTCGATAACAGCCACTCTGCGCTGCCCATTCACCAGCAGCTGCACCGTCGGTAGCGCGCCTCTTACTCTTGGGCTGCCCGAGAGGAGGTTGGCGCAGACACCGCCTCTCCTGACGCGTTTCCCGGCATCCGTTCCGGGCAGCGTGCCGCGGCGTGTCCTGGCTGCTCGCACCGGAAACAGATGATGTCCGCTCTCCTCTCCGCCCGGCAGTCACGAGCGAAGTGACCGGCTCGACCGCAGCGGTAACACCGTGATGACGCCGGCGTGTGGCGGGAACGGGCCGGCGCAGCGGCGGCAGCGGCTGCAGCGACGGCATTCTCTGCCATCAGCGCCCGAGCCCGCTCCACCAGCTCGGCCAGCGTCAGGCTCTCCATGCGGCAGCCGGCCCTCAAGGTATGCCTCGCCGCATCCGGGAGACCGGCCACGAAGCCGCACATCAGCGCCGTGTCGCCGAGCCCGCCGAACAGGGAGGCCAGCCGCCGCAGGTCTGCCAGGTAGACGTCGACGCTCTCGCCGACACGAAGTCTTCTCGCCGTGAACTCCTCGTACGCCTGGAACTTATCCACAGCGAACGCCCGCAGCAGGGCAGCTTTGACGGCAGAGTACTGCAGCTTCTCCTCGGGCTTCAGCTGCTGGTAGACGCTGAAGGCTCCGCCGGTCAACCGCAGGGGGACGACGGTTTGAATGTCGGACACTCCGCGCAGCTGACAGACGAGCTCCGTCTTATCCAGCCACTCTTCCACAGAGGCGTTACCGCCATCGAACTCGGGGATTAGCCGCATGTCCAGCGCCGAACTTGCCACAGCGCTTTCCTGTGACATGGTTGCCGGAATAGCTTGTAGTAATGCAAAAAGTCCAGTACACTCAGATGCCTCTATTCACACCCGTACCCGCTCGTGTCCCGGAGCGCACTGCCCGGCTTCACCACATTAGCCTAGATCATACCTCTGTACACGTCATATCACGTCATATCACGTCATTCTGAACCCTAGACAAAGGCTGATCAATTTCTCCCTCCGCCGACTCACCGTCGCCATAAGACCCTGGCTCGCAATACGACGCGCACCATCATCGCTCGAACCACGCAATGACTAAGACACAGACTACAAATCCCCTTCAAAAGCCGTAAGTCTATGAAACGCCATAGGGGAATAGCTACAGTCCCCCACAATTTCGTCACGAGCATCGGGCCAATCAGCGTCGAGTATTGCCGAACGCCGATTGGGCGATTTCCGCTAGCCTGTAAATGCTGCTTGCGGATATAGTTTTGAACAAGTGAGGGTCGCGGCTACTAATTATCGCTTGTCACCACTTTTTCGTCGGGAACGTTCTACCTGGTTTATATAGCCTTGGTCGTAATGGTCAGCATCAACTCTAAACAGCGATGTTAGATTGAAGTAACGATGTGCGAGGCATTGGAAGTTCCCAGTGGAGTAATCTGGATGTGTCCTAGCTACCGCTCTGGCACTTGAGGGCTGTGAAGGTGTACCGAAGAAGGAAGCCTTGAATGAGTAGGTGTGGAGAATGTCACTTCTTGCCTTTATGTCTTTGTATGCCAGTGATGTGCTGGTCTGTGAGGTCGCTTGTAGCAGGTGACAGACAATGTATCGTGTCGAAATGTAAGTGTATATATGAGGGGTGCATATCTTTTAAACTAACCTTTTCAACGGAAGGGTGCCTGGACGGCGCTTGTCGTAGCGGTCGGTGCGTCTGAGGGGCGTCGTCCCCCGCAGACCGCCGTAGGGGTGGCTATCATAGCGCTATTCCGCGAGCGAACATTGTACAATATGCTTTACTCTGTGCTAGAGTGGCTGTGTGGCTAGGGTTGGCCAGTTTGAGACGGTGGCTCCGCGGATTCAGTTGATATTTTCATCCCCATTCAGACGCGTGCTTCGTCCGCTCCATCACCGTTTAGCCGAAACAAATCATGCGCGGTATATAGTGAACGCTCCAAGAGCCTGATTGATATGGAAGAGCCGCGTCTGCCGTGGGGCAAGCCATGAGCCGTGTTCTGGAAATGGTGTGTGTTTGCTCCAATGGCAACTCATTGCAACTCAGGTACAGGGTGAGGCGCTGTTGTGGATGTTCACTCGAAGACTGTCATTGCGTGCGGTGGTGTAAATATGTCTATATTCTAGAAAATAATAAAACATTTTGTAAAAACGCTCTTTAAACTGGTCTTGCAGGGGAGCCGCAGCGCCAACATTACCTTGTTACTATATTGCGTAGGCACTACGCATCCCCTTAGCGCTTATCGTACCGATGTCAAGAGCGAGCTAGCCATTTTTACGATCGAGTTCTGCACTACCGTCTACCACTGCTCATGCACTGGATTGTGACGTCATTTAGTCTGTATACATACGTCAGCACGACTTGCACAATATGGGTGTGTTCACTGGCTCGCAGGGCAGTGGTAACCAGATGCATTCGACGCGATGCCGTGCATGGTATGTGGTATATATCGTGTAACCCGAAAGCAGCGATGACGTCAGTAGGATAAAGGTCATGTCACGGTACGGATGCACTGCGATTGGGCTTGCAACAGGAGCGGCTGGACCGCCTGGACCTCGCCCTAGGTTTCGACACAGCCGCTGGGGTCAGATCCACATCGCCCTGATAGCCACAGATAACCTGTCATGGACCTCGGGCCACTAAAACAGCTTTCCACTGCCTCACTCCTCAGAACTCTTATTCGCCACACCAGATACGGATCGCTAGCTCGGGCATCAGGTCCATAAAGCAGCTTTTCGCTGCCTCAGGACCCTGACTAGCCAGGTACGGACCTAATGGCGCTGGGCCTGCCACCTTCAGCAGAGTAGTGGACCCTGGGACTGAGCCCCAGCTAGGTCCTCCTAGTCTTATACTCCTCTTGGTCCTCCTAGACCCGAAATGCAGCTTCCGAAGACCCTCGGGATCAAAATGCAGCCGCCTACGTCCCTCAGGCCCCCAATTCAGCAGTCTATGGTCCTAAGCAGCCTTTCACGGGCCTCAGGTCCGTAATATGTACAGACTACAGTTCTCATGGCCCTCGGATTCCTGGCATTATCAGCCACGACCACAGGTCGCCGACAGCCCGCCATGCTAGCCTTCAGGCCCCAGACACCGACAGTCACGGATCAAGTGCGTCGCGCCCGGCGGCGCCACCGCTGGCAGTTTTTTTTGTGCCGCTTTTTGTCGCATTCGCAGTCCCGCCCCGTTCCTGTGGTGCTCTTTGTCGTTCCGCTGGGACAGGGGCCCAACAGGGGGCGGAGCGGAGCGGGGCGGGGCTTCACCGAGTGCCATGCCAGGTCATTCCTCGAGTCAAGAGCGTAGCGTGAACATATTTGGCGATGTGGGAGAACGACCGGCTGTTATGTGGCCAAAGGAGCGCGATGACCCTGAGTCTTATGCCATTCTGATGTAATGTTGGCGACCGTCCCAGTTCAGACTGCGTTCTACTCAGAAGCGTGAAAGACGAGTGTTTTAGAAACAGCCGTAATGGGACAGAGTCAGCGACCATGTCGGACATTGGCAGTGGTAGCTCTTACTCATGGCGAGCTTATTCCGTTTTAGACATGCAATGAAGAAACCGCACACGAAATAGGTAACACGGCGAATTCGTGACGGTTTCAGCTCCGCTCGAGATTCAGTTTTGTACCGGCAGTCGAACGATATGTCAATCATTAGGCCAATTTGTTTTCTGTAGTTACTCCTCCCTTCAAGCCACAAAGGCAATTGGCGAACGCCGGAACGGCTACAACCGTCACCCTTTTGCCTGGCACTATGACGCTTTGTTCTCCCATTGAACCTAATTGAGGGTATGGCATCTTTATCACCTTATTGAGTCGCTAACGGATATGCCCCACATCAGAGCGCCGTTGATTCAGACACCCTACCTTACTACGCCGCGCTGGCACGCAGCGCGGTCCTTTGACCGGGCGGCGCCGGGCGCCCCGGGCTATTTCGGTTAGCCGTGTGACCGGCCGGCCGTTCTCGCCTCTGATTGGTCGGCGCCGCCTGGCAGGCTATTCTGGCCCGCGGGGCCCGCATACCACCGGAGACACCCGCACGGCGCATCTCTCATCCGGCCGACGCACTCGGCTGTCACTGATATGTGACCGGGGACCACGAGTGTCCGACGTGCACTCCCGATCGCGCTACAGCGATTTAACAGTCACAAGGGACTTTGGTAGCTTTACGCTACTTCGCGTACGATCCCATTCATTCCCTCCAATGCCAAAGTGTAGGGATATTTGGTACTGCCAATAAATACAACACGCAAGCATACCGCAGCATCACATCTATCAACAAGCGCTTCAACAAACACAAACCTGAAACAGGTAACAAGTGTATTCAACCATGTAAGAAAACGGCTAAAGCCTTGCTCGTCATAGTAGACAGCGCAGCCGGGTGCTCCGCCCACTGCGCGAGCCTCACTGCGACGCGTCTGTGCTCTGCATCTTCGAGCACACACGCTGGATGCCGGTGCGGACAAGGCACAGCGCGAGCGACCACCACAAGGCACCAGACAGAGGCAGATGGGGCGCCGCGTACAGCGGAGACGGCCAGCGGATACCGAGCGCAAAGACGGTCAATGTGTTTCAACACCGAAAGGCAAGGCTCCGATCTCCGCTGTTCGGACTTAACGGTCACAGGCATTTGCAGGTATGTAATACAAAAGCCTCATAAGGTTGAAATAACTCAAGTGAAATCAAGATAGTCGTTTCTGTGGTTAACAGCACATGAAGCTGGGTTGACATTATCTGCGATAAGGTCGGTTTTAACGATGAAACATAACTTGGTTGGTAAGGTTGGTTTGTTAAATATTCTGTAATACATCATACACGAAGAAGTACAAAACAACACAGCGTATGTAAGTAAAGTATAAGAACATGATCATGCACTTGTCTTTAGGCACGACTTAAACACGATTTAAGCACAACCTGGCTGAATAGAATCACCTTTGATTTTACAGCTTTCATTGAAACAAAGCAATCACTTATCTATCGCCAGACATTATCGTAGCGAATTGTTCGTAAGCAAAGCGAGCACCAGACAACCCAATTCTCCTCATGTAACACCAATAGGATGGCACATACCGGGGGTGACCCCTGTGGGACCCCTCACTCGATCGGCGAGATTCTGCAGTCTATAGACCTCACTTCAGGCGGTCTCTACAAGCCACTATCGTTCGATCGACCACAGAACAGGTAAGGAAGAACAGGTGTTACTCAAAGCAACCGGTACAAACACTGGCGGAGCTGGACACTCGCACAATCTCGAGACATTTCAGAGATGGTTTAGCGCTGTTTTGGTACAGTAAGGTACCAGTACAGAGAGCGTTTGCTGCAAAGACAAGCGGAAACAACTGCCTGCTTCCGTGAATCTCATCGGTCAGCCCCCTCAAGCAGGTACGATAGTAAAAACTACACCCTTCTTCCCCAGAAATAAAGGCATTTATCTTAAAAATAGCATTCACGAAGTACCATACTTTCAAATCGACCGACTATCCAGACTAATATCACCAGAAAGTATCTACAACGTACGATGAATTACTTTGTAACTCTGGGTCATGGAAGACATTTTAATTGGGTTAACATTAATTTAGAACAGACGTTGAATCGCTCTCAATAAAGCGAAGGTACTCAATGCGACAGCAATCCTGTAGTCAATGAGGTAGGCAGACGCCTTCAAAGCAACAGTTGCGGTAGAAACCGACAGTCGTGCAACACGAAGGCGCTGGAGCTCGTAAAACCAACCCATTAGAAAAAAGGTTCAACAATGTTATTTTTTTCAGATTTAAATACTGGCATTTACTTACTACGAAACAGTTGTTCATTTGTTATTGAACTGGAAAACGGAATATTTCGATGTCGTAGAAAAGATAGCCGTTTTATGAAGCTGAGGCTAATGAAAAATAAGTGATGAAGTGACGAACTCTTATGTGCAATGTGCATGTATGATGTCATAAAACATCGATTTGCCTGCTTGATAACAAGCACGATTCGGTTTTCTCAGCATTATGATCGCTGAAAGATGCACATTTGCCTGGTGTTTTGACATCTTGCCGATATCAATTGTCTCAAAAACACTGAAACATTCCGCTCAATTTAGCCACCAACTGAGCTGAATTTAACTGAGCTATCGGCCATAAAAAGCCGATAGCCAATCTCATCGTATGCAATCTCCAATCTCTAACGGGAGCTAATTTCAAATCACGTCGGCAGGCGACATGGGCTCGTCTCAGTTGGGCAGTGCTACGACAGGACGGCGAGGCCAGGGGACACAGTCCCTAAGGCAATCGGAAGATATAACGCAAGGCACTTGATAGTTTCGCTAAACTAACCACTTTTAGTGGTACGGGACACCTAAGTATGAAACACTTATACCACAGTCCGAAAATATGCACACATGTACACACAACAGCTAACACGTTGAACGTGCATAGTCACTAGTAGAAAGCTACTCTATAGCTGATCAAATAACATAACAAGTACACTTGCATTGGTCTTGTAACACTAGAAAAGCACGGATGCAAATAGTGGCTATTGTATAATCAAATCGTGCAAAACTGAAGAGTATTATCGTTAGATAAAACAAATATACACGTGTTAATTTCAACAAGAGGAGATACTAACAAAACTAGAACGGCGTCTGGATCAGACACAGCGAACTAATGAGAGTGCAGGTATTTTGTTCTAAGGCGATCGTGATTCGTACCCATCTACGAACTACCTCCAGTGGGCAGCTGATCTACCGTTTTCAAGCACACGCTGTCAGATCGAGCGTTCATCTTCGATCACCAGAGTGCACAATCTATGTGGCTCTGGTTTGCGAGAGGTCGGATTAACCACTTCCTCCTCGACTGGACAAATTGCTCTCACGACGCGCCCAACAGGGCAGAGCCGACATTCGTCAACCAACGAAACCTTTGCCGGACTAAAGGTAAGGCATGGGTGTGCTCGTTAGCGCCGTACTTCCCTTTCGGATACGACTTCTTCTGCCTTGCAAACGGTAGAGGTGACGTGTGCATGACCACCAATCATCAGTTAGATGCTTCCTGTCTTGCCCACTGCAGCAGTAGTGCAGACGTGTCAACGAGCGCGGGACCTCCCATGAAGAGACGACGGTACTCTCCACCAGGCAGATGACAGAGGCCACCTCCCACCAGGTACACGCCTCCCTCTGCCCGGCCCACGGCACAACAGACCTGTTCGTCACGCCCAACTTCCTATCACGAGACACCTCCCTCGGCCTGATTGACGGTCGAGTACGCGTGTCTGTGTGCTCCCGTCGACACGGGCGCCACGGTGGGTGGCACTCGCCGGCTCCGGCGGGCCAGGAGAGGCGGCGGCGGCTCCAGACATTCGATGCCGACCCAGCGGCGCTGATGCAGCACGCTGGCCACCCGCAGCAGCTGTGAAACAAAGGGGAGGTCAGAAGGGTCAGAGTGCCAGTGAGTCGACTCAGGTGCAGAAGGGTGGTGGGCTAGTGCACTCAGACAAGAGACAAACAATGGCACCTGCACTCGGCATTGGCTGTGCGCAGTCTGATACACCGTTGGTAAATTCTTAGTTACGCGGCTTATGTCCTGGCATTTCTGATAAATGTGATTAGACCAAATGCGTTGGTGCTATAATCTTCAACGAGCTGTCATCGAGTGAGAAGCGATTAGTCAATGAAATCAGTTTATGTGATTTACAAGAGTTAATAGCAGACAATGCTGATTCTGACAAAGGCCAGGATATTAGCAAGGACAATTACAGCGTACTTGTATCCCTCATACCACATTCAATTTGTCACTCATTTCCGTTCTCCTTATCCGGCCCGGTGTCATCCCAATCCAGCTCTTTGTGACGCCCAGCCCCGCCCATTGCGCAATAAAGACTCGATATGCGGCGCAGTCGGTCCAGTCAGGACAATTACGTAACCGACACTTGCAGTGCGCGGTGCAACGGCCGACGCACCGGCCGAGCAACACGCCGTTACAACATTCAGTCGACATGCTGGCGGTCGCCCAACGTAGGACAGACTGCGCTGACATTCACATTCCACAATCACGATTTTGAGGTAGTTGGTTGGAAAATGGGATGCTACGACATGCCAGCAATCATCATGTTCCCAACTAGGACTTCCAAGACAGAACTGGGCGGAAAAGACGACTCAATTGGATCTACTATGTCAACTCTAACTGGGTCAACACTCAACTGGTGTGTAAAGGGATCGGAGCAGGTTTGACAAAACAGTGTTTCATGCATCTGCAGAGAAAGTGAATTTCACTTTTAATGCGTCTAAGCAAACATCTTATACGGGGAGCATTGTCCACTCATTTCATCCACCTCGTAAATATCTTTGTACATTACATGCCGGAGCGGACACCAGCATTTTCGTTACGACACTAACTAGACTGACACCATGACAAACAACATGAGTCCCGGAGACAAGTAGGAAGTCAACCAACCGTCGATCAAACAAGCAAAATAAGCCAGGAAGTGGAAGGACTCCAATGCAGGGACGTTACAACAGTCGGGGTAGCGACCCGACCGCCAGAAAAGCAACCAACAAAGGATATCTACAAGGGACAAACTCCAGACTAAACAGAAGCAAACAACACACATTGAGAACACGAACCTGCCCCTTGTGCTAGGCCCTCATCGCCTCTGCAGCCTCGTCATACGGTTTGACGACACCACAGTGCACCTAGAAGCGGACACGGGTACGCCGTCAGCAGCGCCGCTCTGGTGGCCCCAAAAGATACTACTACTTTTGATCCTCCACCAGCAGATGGGATGCAGTGAGGGCAAAACGAGCTTTCTGTAGATGCGTCCGCGTCTATGCAAGGATAAATCCGTTTATGCCACACCCTGATAGCGAACAACTTCCGCTGGTTATCCCGGAAAGTGATGCTAGTGAATGGCTGGGATAAAAACAAACAAAACACCTGACCACGGGCAGCTAGCCTACAGGCAGTCGCTAGCAGGACATTGCGGTAAAAGTCACAACCATACACGCGGTCCCCACCCATTTGTTCGGCGCCAGATGGTGCATCAACCAGCGGAGACACCTTTTCTACAACCGTATTTAATCAAATAATAAATGATATTGCAACATCCAGCATGGAGAAGTCAGTTAACTATACCAAACCAATCGTCAAAGACTCAGTCGAGCCCCCGCCGCCCCACACCCTCCTTGTCGTTAGCTCCCTCCAGTTGTGCGAGCACGTACCTTGGGTTTTTCGACGGTGACCAGCCGAAACTCGTAGACAAACGTGAGCAGGAAGACGGAGAAGAGCAGTCCGACGGCCCACTCGGAGGCCGTGCTGCACACGTGGTACTCCCAGCCGTGGCTCGGCATGCCCCACTCGCTGTCCGGTATCTCTGCAGGGAAGGTGGGGTAAGGTAAGGTAAGGTTGGGTAAGGTCAGGGGTGTCGTTTTCCGAAAATGATTGGTAGTGCCCAAAGGCGGCGGCTGGCCATGTATGACGGGGCTTACAAGGTACGGTACCCCCAAATCTGCCTTTCTCATCGGATTTCGGCCACTTATTTTTCGCCCTGGTCATTGACAAGACTAACCGAAATCTAAAAAAAAAAAAACTTTGGAAATCTGGGTCCACACCGGACGCCATGCACAAAACGTGCAGTTATATAGGCAATAGTGTCGGAGGAATGCACGCCATTCTGAAAGAGGCCCACATCGACTTAAAGGTAGTGTGCCAGCTTTCTTGGATCGTATGGAGTTAATGGCCCAGATAAGGAGAACCGGATTTTTAGAACTTATCCATATCTTCAAAACTCATGGAAACGTCTTAAATTCTTCAAATTTTGAGTACCCCAGTGCGAAATTCGCCCCGACGGGTTGTCGGTCGTACCCCAACCACATTTCACACCACTATGAACAATAAATGCACACACTGAAACAGGGGCGGTCGCAGACTTGGAGTTTGGGGGGGGCCAACTTGTCAAAGGGGCCCCTGCGCTGACCCGGGGGGCCCGGTGCTAGCTTAAAGGGGCCCACGGACGTAGTGCACGGGTGCAGAAATCCAGGCCATGGCCGATGAAGCGGGGGGGGGGGGGGGCTAGTGAGCGGCACCCGAGAGGAGGCTCATTGCGAAATGCGAGCTTTGAGGGCGTACCATGTCGAAAAGGTACCGATAAGTGCATTTTGAAACATTGATATTGTCAATAATTCACGCAACTGTGAATGGACTACCGCAAAAGTAAAGGCGGCGCGGCTAACTTTGCCATTTTCTAAGATAATCGTGCTAGAACTTTTGACAGTGGGTCATCGGTATCTGTTCACTGTTCAATCACATGTGTTCCGTTTCATCTTTTTTTTTTTTACTTGAGCACAAATGTAAGTTTTGAAGGCCATTACAGTAGCCAATACTTCGGAAGATGGATAGTGGGCAAAATATCCTAAATTTGTCGTGCTGCATGGAAAGTAGTGTTGCTGAGAAAAGGGGGTTTTGTTCCAGATTACTGTGGATGCAGAATACATTGTCTGCACCCACTGCAGAATTATTGTTGGTGCAACTGCGCCCACTGCACCCATGGTTCCTACACTTATGGGCCCATCGATAGCGCTTCGGCGATACCTATCGCCTAGAGGCTGCAATGGAGCCCTTAGAGTACGGTGTCAGACCCCCAGAGGCCGGCGTTGGACCCAAGGGTCAGCGAAGGGCCTGAAAGGCCCCGGTAGGGCCCCAGAGGCTGATGTGGGCCTTCAGAGGCAAGTGCGTGACGCCCAAAGGTAAGGCTTGAGCCCCCCCCCCAGAGAACATAATAGGGCCATCAAAGGCCGGTGTGGGACCTTTAGAGGCTGGTTTGGGCCCATAGGGGCCAGTTTAGGGCCATCAGAGACCAGTACAGGGCCTGCAAAGGGCAGTTTGAGACCATCAGAGACCGAATTGGGCACTCAAAGGCTAATGTGGGTCCTTACAGGCCAGCATGGAGCCCTCAGAGGTTACCGTGGGCAGGGCTGCGGAGTCGATGGATTTTCGGCGACTCCGACTCCGACTCCGACTCCGGCTTTCAAAAACCAGCTCCGACTCCGACTCCGACTCCGGGCAGAATTGTCGACTCCGACCGACTCCAACTCCCGACTCCGACTCCGCAGACCTAGCAGGGCTGCGGAGTCGACAGATTTTCGGTGACTCCGACTCCGACTCCGGCTCGGGTTTCTAAAATCGACTCCGACTCCGACTCCGACTCCGGTCACAACTGTCGACTCCGACCGACTCCGACTCCGACTCCGACTCCAACTCCGCAGCCCTGACCGTGGGGCTCTAAAAGACCGACATGGGCCGGCGTTGGACCCCAGAGGCCAGTAGAGGGCCGTCAAAGGCCAAGATGGGCCCTCAGAGACCGATGCGGGCCCTTAGAGGCCGGCATCGGGTCTTCAGAATCCAGTGTGGGGGGCCCTCAGAGGCTAATGTGAGCCATTACAGGCCAGCATGGGGCCCTCAAAGGTCAGAATAGGACCCTAAAAGACCGGCATGGGCCGGTGTTGGACCCCAGAGGCCAGCGGAGGGTCCTCAAAGGCCAAGATGGGCCCTCAGACGCCGATGCGGGCCCTGAGCGACCGGCATCGGGTCTTCAGAAGCCCGTGCGGGCCCTCAGAGACTAAGGTGGGTCCTTACAGGCCAGTACGGGCCCTCAGAGGTCAGTGTGGGGCCCTAAAAGACCGGCATGGGCCGGCGTTGGACCCCAGAGGCCAACAGAAGGCCCTCAAAGTCCAAGATGGGCCCTCATAAGCCGATGCTGACCCTTAGAGGCCGGCATCGGGTCTTATGAATCCAGGGGGCCTCAAAGGCTAATGTGAGCCCTTACAGGCCAGCATGGGGCCCTCAAAGGTCAGAATGGGACCCTAAAAGACTGGCATTGGCCGGTGTTGGACCCCAGAGGCCAGCAGAGGGCCCTCAAAAGCCAAGATGGGCCCTCAGAGGATGATGCGGGCCCTTAGATGCCGGCATCGGGTCTTCAGAATACAGTGCGGGGCCCACAAAGGCTAATGTGTGTCCTTACAGACCAGCATGGGGCCCTCAGAGGTCAGTGTGGGGCCCTAAAAGACCGGCATGGGCCGGCGTTGAACCCCAGAGGCCAGCGGAGGGCCCTCAAAGGCTAAGATGGGCCCTCAGACGCTGATGCGGGCCCTGAGCGGCCGGCATTGGGTCTTCAGAATCCAGTGCGGGGGCCCTCAGAGGCTAATGTGGGTCCTTACAGGCCAGCATGGGGCCCTCAGAGGTCAGTGTGGGGCCCTAAAAGGCCGGCATGGGCCGGCGTTGGACACCAGAGACCAGCCGCGGAGGGCCCTCAAAGGCCAAGATGGGCCCCCAGAGGCCGATGCGGGCTCTTAGAGGCCGGCATCGTGTCTTCAGAATCCAGTGCGGGGGCCCTCAGAGGCTAATGTTGGTCCTTACAGGCCAGCCAGCATGGGGTCCTCAGAGGTCAGTGTGGGGCCCTAAAAGGCCGGCACGGGCCGGCGTTGGACATCAGAAACCAGCGGAGGGCCCTCAAAGGCCAAGATGGGCCCCCAGAGGCCGATGCGGGCTCTTAGAGGCCGGCATCGGGTCTTCAGAATTCAGTGCGGGGCCCTCAGAGACACTTAAAGTCTAGTCTTGGGACTCGGAGACAGAAATGAGGCCACCAGCAGGCGCGGATACAAGGGGGGGGGGGCATGGGGGCCATGGCCCCCCCCTTGGCCGATTTTTTTCAAAAATAAAATAAAAAGTTAAAAAGCTGAAAAGGGGGCCTCCTGAAAATAAAGTGGCCGAAATCCGATGAGTTTTTTTTTAACCTACCCACTTAGTTATTTCTTAGAAGACTGGCTGAGAAGACTTCTTTGTTAGAAGATTGGTAAAGCTTTTCATAACTTGGAGGTCTCTTATACTCACAGAGATGCCCACTTTTACAGGGCCTCCTAACCTGCACAGAGGGCCTCCAAGCCTGTACAGATGTCCTAACAAACACAAAATCTCTTAGCCTACACAGAGGCCTCCACTCGCATCCGAACAAAGGGCCTCCTAGCCAACACAGAGGGCCTCCTAACTCACACAGAAGGTCTCCTATTCTGCACAGAGGGACTCCAAGCCTGCACAGATATCCTCTTCGCCAACACAGGACCTCTTAATCTCCACAGAGGGCCTCCACTCGCATCCACACAAAGGGTCTCCAAGTCTGTACTGAGGGCCTGCGCTCGCATCTGCACAGAGGGCCTCCTAGCTATCACAGAGGGCTTCCTAGTTCACATACAAGGCCTCCTAGCAGGGGCGGATCCAGGGGGGGGGCGATAGGGACTATAGCGTCCCCCCGGGCGACTTTCTCATTTTCTTTTTTTTTGCAAAAAAAGCATGATAGGGGGCCCCCAAAAATAAAGTGGACGAAATCCAGGCTTAAACTTTTGGGGGTAGGTAGGGCCCCCATCGATGGGGGGCCCCCGATTCGGAATAGCCCCTCCCTTGGCAAAATGCTGGATCCGCCCCTGGCCACCAGAGGCCGGTGTGAGGCTCTCAGACGCCGGTTGGGCCCTTGAGGCCGGTGTAGGGGCCCTCAAAGGCCAGTGGAGGGCCCTCAGAGGTCAATGTGGGTCCTCAGCGGTCAATGTGGACGCTTGACCGCCACTGAAGGGCCCTCAGAGGTCAGTGTAGGACCCTCAAAGACTGGTATGGGAGCTGTTACTAGCTGGCGTGGGTTTCTCGAGCCTCGTGACAATCGAATACGGGCCAGGGCCCCATACGGCCATGGGGGCCCATCGGTTGTTTGGGGGGGGCCAAATGATATGATGGCCCCCCCTGATTTGGCTTTGGGGGGGGGCCATGGCCCTGATGGCCCCCCCCCCTGCGACCGCCACTGCACTGAAATCGCTATTACCGATATGCTCATCCAATCAAGTTTCGATAAACCCGTTCATCATCATCTCCTGCGGTTTCGAACACGCCTGTTAGGTGGCTTCTGATGCTCGTCGAGGTCGGAATTTCCAAATACGCGTGGTGCGTCGGGCCGCGCGCTCTGACTTTGGCCAAGAAAAATGCGTCAGCTGATCATTGTCATTTCTGCCACTTGCGTGTGGTGAAATGGGGTCATAACTTATAAGACGGCTTTTTCATATCAATTATTTTACATAAAATCATAATTCAAACCATAAATAATGTTCGACAGCCAAATAAAAGAAACAATACCAATACGGGCTTACAGTTTAAGGCTCGTCATTGTGTTGTCTACGATTAGACAGCTGATAACTCATTCCCGTACGTCGTATGGTCGTAACACTATAATGACCTTCGCTTATTGTCACAAGTGCGCCGCATTCGCGATTGCTGCCCGACGCCTGTTTGCAGGTGAGCCCACTACAGTTGTTATACATATCTAAAAACCGAAAA